TAATAAATATTTATTTATTTATATACGTATTTATTTATTAAATAATAATATTTATTATAATATATTATAAAATAACTTAATATTAATTATTAATTTACGTTTATAAAAATAAACGAAATATAAATGTTTTTTATTATATTTTTAACTTAAATTATAATTATAAATAATATTATAAACTTATTAATTAATTTTAAAATATATATTTTTAAGAAATTTATAATTATTAATTTTATTAAATTATTAAATAAATTCGTATATATAATTTCGTTCGAAATATTTAATAATATTACTTCGAAGTTTAATAATATAAAAAATAATAATCACGTTTTATTTTATATAAATTAAAATATCGATTTTATATAATTATTTAATAAAAATTTATAATTAATATTTATTAAAAATATTTAAAAATTAAAACGTTTTAAAAATTAAATATATATTTAATAAATAAATATTAATAAAATTAAACGTACGTATTATAATTAAAATATTTAATAATATTTTAAATATTTATTTTTTATAACGTTAAATTTTTTTTAAAAATAAATGTTATTTTTAAACGTTTAAAAATAAAAATAAATGTTTTATTTTTTAAAACGATAAATATTTTTTTAAACGTTATATTTTTAAAATGTTAAAATATATTAAAAACGTTATATGAAATTTAAACGTTTAAAAAAAAAAACCCGCATTTAACGGTTTTTTTTTTTTTAAACGTTTAATTTTTTAAATTATAAATTAACGATAAATTAACGGTTAATTAAATATTATAAATTTTTATACGGTTATTTTTAACTTTAAATAATTATTTTTAACATTTAATAATCGTTTTTTACATTTAAACTGAAAACGATAAATAGAAATAAATGTTAATCATTATTATAATAGGAAATATTACCAAGGTCTTGCAATCTAGCAGCTGTAATCTGGCTGTCAGTTGCAATCATAAAACAAAAGACTTAGAAGTTTTTTTCTCCAAGTCAACAAACACTTCTACACACACACATACACCTTCTTTTTCTCTTTGCAATACACCCAAGTCAAGTTAATTGCATAATATCTTCAACCTATTCAGTCTATTCAATCTATTCAATCTATTCAATCTATTCAGTCTATTCAGTCAGTTCAATCTAATCGCGTCAAGTAAGTATCTCAATTCAACGTATTGAAGTCAGTCTAATCTAGTCGCATCAGATCAACAGGATACTGTCAGTTTCGGTTCTAGTAATAGTAAGTCAAATCCAATCTGATCGAAACGAAGCAAGCTAATAGATCTAATCTAGGTGATCTAGATCTAGTTTCTGTATATAAGGAAGTAAGTCAAAAAGTAAGTTGGTATCTAGGTCAGTATCTAGGGAAGTTGGCAAACAAGTCGCGTCAGGTCAGTATTTACTAGTACATATTTACATAGCAACCACTTCAAAGTATCCACTTTACATAAAATAATTATGCAATCCCTAGAATAACTTCTTTGCAAGTTATCATTATTTTGTAAATAATCGTTTTTGAATCAAAAACCATTTGCTATACAATAACGTTTAATTTCCACTGAATGGTCGTTAATGGGCAGACGCGTTCAGTGTCCAAAAACCGTTTTTCAAACCCACATTTTGCCACTATGGTAGGTATGTTCTCACCTTTTTCTTTGGCTGGAGGCGTCCACACGATTTCATCTCAGCACTAGGCCTTGCGGCATCCTTCCATGCAGCTTCCACGCACGCGCGCTAGGCTTCAGGTAGAGAGCCTGCTAGCCTGCTTTATGTATGTGGTATGTACGATTCCCTAAGCCGGAATTGCGGTGATGTGCCTACCCAGACCGTCTCCATCGTCGACGTGGCTAGGCTGCTCGCTGGCCCTAGCCCGCGCATCGAGATTCTCGTAGATGTAAGGCATACTTACGCCTACTAAGCACTTGCCTATCTATCTACTACCTACCTACATCCTCCTCGGTATGTAAAAGGTGACTCAACGTAGTGTCACGATAGCATTTCTTTAAAAAGAAAACGCGGCGCCGCACCGTGGAATCTCAATTCTGCAAGTATGTCTGTCTGCCCACTGGTTTTATTTTTGGACGGGTTCCAAGATTTCCAAGACATTTGTGATTGGATTCGAGGCATTAATGAAGAGCTTTGGGGAACTTTGGGGGCCGTCCGTGCCCACCGCCAGTGTGACGGGTGCGGTCTACGGATGCAGGCATATATCGATGAGATACGTCATGTTCGCCGTTGAATTTTCGATGTATCTCGCCCGCCCGAGCGCGCGTGTATGTATCTACCCTTTGGGTGTAGGTACTTTGTGAAGCCTGGTGTCTGTGCCCTCCATGCGCTTTACCATGGCGGCGTCGCTCGGTATGATTTGCATATGGCCAAGGGAAAAAGCCACACAGACGTAGAACACAGACCTTGGGAGCGTTGTTAGCAGCTCGTGGTGTGCGCCTAGGAGGTAGGACAGGTCGGACGAAGTCATGACTCGTCCGTTCAGCCACCTCGCCCTAGGGGCCGTGTAATTGGCTGGTATTTCAAGCCAGCTGAAATGCGTCAGGTACCCGAGTGTTAATTCGCCGATGCATCTAATTATGAAAGATTTTGCTCGGTCTAATATTATTACTCTTGAATTAGTCTGATTAGACTTAGAGATACTTCAGACGTGTCGGATAGTAAGTAGGCACCTGATGAAACATGATGAGTGAATTAGCTAGAAGCTGAAATCCTTCGTTGAAGAACGAGGTCTAACAGAAACATGATGGCTAGAGGTGACTAGAGGATGTGGAGTCACTCTCCTGACTTGAGATTGACTTTTTGGTGGTTCACTAGATTTCTTAATCACCGGAAGCTTTCTAGATAGCATCAAACACGAAATTATAAATACATGCTGACCAAAACATGCGTAGACTGAGTAGTCCTTTGGCACGCTTTGTCAACGATTCTTAGGCATATTCTCTGGTCTTGCTAGAAACTTCCTATCAGAGGCAAACCTCTTGAAAAGCCACCTATCTTCGTCATTTACTTATTCGAATATTGACAAATGGCTGACAACTCCAATCAGAACACTTGCATCTCGTCCCCTTCGACCGCTCTCCTGGCCACCGACAATGCCCAGACGAGTTCCGAGTCTGTATCCTCAAATCCGAATCGTGTCATGGGCATGAATATATTTAGCCAATGTGCAGATAAAAAGGAGGATTCTCAAGCTCGTAGCCCCTTCAAGGAAGCCAGTCTTGGAGGAACCGCGTACATGGGGTATGGATATCGTTTCGGTCTTGACAAGTGAATCTTCAAGATGGAAGTGGACACTGGGAATCATAAAACCTTCGTATTTAAGATGTGGTGATAGATCCTCTCTGTGATTGAAAGGTACCCATACGCTTGGTATTTTTGCCAGGACTCGTAAGGTATTTGCATTTAAGAAGAAATCAGGGGCCACGCCACCAATGTTATATATATTATCGCTTCTTGTCAATCAAGTCATATGCTGAGTACAGCTCTGTAACCTGATCTGATATCCAGGTTACTACTAAGTAGGAATCTAGTTCGACTGTGGTATATCGAGTAACAATACAACTATTACTTCTCTTATCATTGCTAGTGAAGAATATTCTGCGTCCTTCTAACATACCTAGAAGCTGTATTGTGTCTACAAGGAGTAGTTTACTTAGATACCTCCCTACCAAGATGAAGAACCTCTATTCGCAGCGTGTATGCCTACTCAATTCCCATGTGAACTTCTGCTAAACCCTAATGATTCATATGGTTCGACGGATAGAGCAGGGTAATGTAAAGCGGTGATGTGGTACTCCTTGGGGGTTTGATATTGAGCTCTATCTAAGTCTTCATTCAAATAGGGGCTTAAGACTTTCAGTTAGGACATCTATTATATGCCTTTCGACGTATGAGTTGAATTTTCTCATAGTACATCCAGCAACTCTCCTTGAAAGTCACATCAGCTAATCACAGCATTTCCATCGACTCCTACTTCAAGAGCATTTACACTTGATTTACCTGTTGATACCGTGATGCCATCGTTCAATAATCTCTATGACTTTGTCCTAAACTCCCACTGTTTGCTCAACAGCTGATTCACCGTATAATAGAAGTAGAACTCCATCCTCAAAAATAAAACATATATAATGAATTCTATTTCCATAAGCTCTCAACCACAATTCTCCATCAAACCAATCCTACCAGTACACAAGACAGCAAGCCAGGGTGAAGATAGGCACAGATAGAACTAAACGAAGCCCCCTGAAAGAGCTCTCATCTCGCAACTTCCAGCCAGCATATCTGCCAACATGTCCTCAAACCAATCCTCCGGCAATAAGGGGGGCTATTCCCTCGACTACCACTACATGGCGAAGGATGTCATCAAGCACACGCCCTCGTCGAAGCGAGTACAACTTATGAATACCGTCAGCAACATGCCGTCATTCAGCAGCACTAAAAAGACCACGGCTCAACCCAGCCCCTTCAAATCATACGGCTCAGGGAGCGCAACATACATGGGAGCTCCAAGCAGGAAATAGGAGCTACGCAAGGAAGAGTTATAGAGGTTTCGTTCCCTCATAGGGGCTAATGAACTTTTACGCTAATGAGGTTGGGGGGATGGGCTATATTAATAGGTAAACTATGTGGAGTCTAGCGGCGGGAACGAAAAAAAAAGAGAAAACATACAACACTGGGGATTCGCTGGTCGTCACCGACCCAACTACTGATCCAGCGGTAGCCAGCTTATCTATGGGAGAGCGGACGGGATCCCGAGTTCTCTAGCTCCTATGGTCGTATGTGAAAGTAAAAGGGTAATTTGGATTAATATACTTGATGTTATTCGGAACCCGATATTGAGCCGCCGCTTCATTGGTGAACTTCATCCCTGGCATTAGCCTTGGGAATTCTTCGGTATCCTAATCGCGCGACAGGGTCTTTATTATAATTTTGGAGAAGAAAACTTCTACTTATCAATCGTGATGAAACATCGCTATTTCGTTGGGTTATTTTTCTATAATTGGTAGTTGAGGTTGTCTTTCGAGATGCATTTCCTCAGAAAGTCTTAATTAAGTCGTACGGAGGCGTAAAAAAAGTAGCGCTAGTTGATTATTCATAAATATCTTGCTTTTGACTTCCCATCCCACAAGATTCATTTTACCATAACTCTTCTGGCGTCGAAATTTGCTTCTGTTGTCGTTTTAAAGTGAATCAATTCACATATAAAAAGAGAAAGGGGGTTAGCTCCGCGGAGATGTCACGGCCGGAGCGGACCCACATATACGGTATTCGGGACGGGGGCAGGGCATGCCCATGTCACTTGATCCAACGCTCTGGCTTGATCCCTTTTTGGAGTTTTCGTTACTCAATATGACGCTCAGGTGGGAGACCAATTGGTCATCGCGTCTTTGTATCCCTGGAGAAACCTCAATGTTTTAGTCAACGGTTCTCAAATGTCTTCATTAGCCGTCCTTTCCAAGCCCTTGGTGCGCAAATGACACCATTCCCTTGCGCAATGAGAAAGAAAAGGTTTGGGTGGGAAAAAATAACAACACATGCCATTGACGTAGGCACTAAAAGTTGGGCCTAATGTCATAAATATGATCTGATCGGTCCGCTGGCATGTCTGCGCATCGCGGGCGACGAGCTCTCGTTGCTCGCTTACCTTCTTCCCGCGATAACCTTTTGAATTCTCAATCTCGATTACGATCTCGCATCCCTGACGATTCGACAAGGATTCGGAAGACACAGATGCCTTTCTGCCCGTCAAAATGGAACTTCGAAATCGACGACTACCTTAACCCCTGGCTGCCAGCCGCGCCGTGGAAGCACATACCGTACCCGATTGCTCATTTCCTAGGCTACAGGCCGGTGCCACAAAGACCGTTGGGGAACATAGCCATGACATTCTGGGCGTTCATCGGAGTTTTCTGTTCCCTGACCATTATCGAGTTCGCCGGTCGCGCCATTCCCTCTTTTGAGATGCATGGCGCGCCTATCATTATCGGCAGTTTTGTGAGTCTCCGACCGACGTGTCTCACTTGAGATTCCTGTAAGGGCGATCCGCTAACAGGGTCAAGGGTGCCGCCGCAGTTCTGGAGTTCTACGTTATCGAATCGCCTCTCGCGCAACCTCGCAGTGCTGTTCTCGGACAACTGTTTTCGTCCATCATCGGTGTTGCCATTAGCAAGTTGTTTGCACTAGGTTCTGTGTCCAGAGACTTGACGTGGCTCGGTGGCTCGCTTAGCTGTGCGTGTTCCGTCGCATTCATGGCTCTGACAGGGACCGTTCACCCGCCAGCAGGCGCCACGGCGTTGCTTGCCGTGGTGGACGAGGGAGTAGCGCATCTCGGGTGGTTTCTCCTGCCCGTAGTCCTCCTAGGCTGTGTCTTGATGCAGTGCGTGGCGCTGCTATTGAACAATATCCAGAGACGATTCCCCGTCTACTGGTGGACTCCGGCGGAGCTAGGTCATCGGAAACAGCAGGAAAATAGCAGCTATGACTACGAAAGCGAGAACGGAGCCAAGCTCGAGATCGCCAAAACCCATCACCTAGAAGGTGATTTCGTGGAGGGCGCGAAAGTGGTTATAAAACGAGGACGCGTGCTCGTGCCAGATAGTGTGTACGTCTCACCTGAGGAGAGGATTTTCTTGGAAGAATTAAGTAACAGATTATGATAATTAATGAGATGTAATATTTTCTTTCTTACATCCATTCTTATCCCCTCTCTTCTGCGATCACTTCCGGAGACCAATGAAATCAGCCATCTGCGTCATCTTACAACGGTCGCGCTGACGCTCAGTATGCCTGGGACCCGTATCAATGAGACGAACGAGGGGTAAAGTGATAAGTCAGAACAATTTGCTAATATGTTTTTTCATCTGTTTCTAGACCTGTCGATTCTTGTTGGCCTGGTTATGATGCCGTAAACTTACTGTTGGCGATAGGTATTCTAAGCTTATAGGTAGATGTAAACCTTGGAATACAATGACTTCACCATTGAGTCCGTCTCACATATCCAACATAGATGAAGGAAGCTGGAATTAGAAGGTTTGAGCTATCTTTAAACTTCTACAGGGCATCGAGAGAATGTCGCTATAATAGAGTTTGAACTATCCTCTTATAGTTAGATAGGGAAGTAGAGGGTATACTGCCCCACTAAGTCTACCTCTGACTGCCCTCCTATTGGTTATATTGAACTCAACTAATGAGCATTTTATCTTTTGCAACCGCAAATTCTCATTTCTTTCGCTTCTTGAATTTTTCATACTCAAATATCTCTATGTTACCTTAGAGGCTCAACCGGAGAGGACTGGCATCATAGGTGATCGAGCTAGCTTGGAGAGACTCGAGGAACGGTCGCCAGAATCAGGGCCTGAAAAAACTGGTAGCACGCGCTTCCATTGCTTCACAGTCAAAGTATGGCTCCCGATTCAGCTGTGGCGGGGGATAAGACCCCCGTCGAGACCAACGCCGATCATGAAGCAACAATTCAGGGGGAAGGGTCCCAGCCTGCCCCCGTGGAGTACGATATTGAGAGAGTAGAGCAGGTCTACAAGAAATTAGATCGTCGCATCATCCCAGGTAAGATTGTCAATTGCGCTGGATGTTGTCCTCTTGCTAAGAATCAATTATAGCGTTTTGGATCCTATACTTCATTTGCTCCGCTATTCGCTCTAATATTGGATTGGCGCAGACGATGAACGCAAATGTTGGACATGACCTGATTACGATGCTACATCTCTCGTCAAACGATATCTCTACAGCGCTAGCCCTTTTCTATGTCGCCTATGTTATCTTCGATTGTCCTTCGAACCTCATCATGAGCAGGCTTAGCCCCCGAGTCTGGATGGCTAGAATCGTCTTTGCTGTGGGCGTGATAGGGGCTTGCTTTACCGCCGTCAAGTCTGCTTGGAGTCTGAAGTGAGTATATTGAGAGCCTCTTTTTTTAATTATGCGCAATATGCTGATACCAAGATAAGGTTTCTGCGCTTCCTGCTCGGTGTCGTTATTGCCGGCATGTGGCCTGGCATGTCGTATTACTTGACTTTATTCTATCCTCCTTCTCGAACGGGCAAACGAATTGGGCAGTATTTCACCGCTGCACAGGTCTCGGCTGCAGTAGTTGGTCTAGTTTCTGCGGGGTTCCAGCTCATGGATGGTAGAGGCGGGCTCGTCGGTTTCCAATGGATGTTCCTTATCTACGGACTTCTTGCTATCGTTCTCGGCTGGACCCTGCTTTGGTGGTTACCCGAGCGCCCATTGCCACCGGGTGTAAAGAGGGACCATTCTGGCTTCATGAAGTGGCTACCTCCAACCCCTGAAGCTTTGACGGGTGAAGATGCTCTAGTTCATTACGAAGACCTCAAACGAGTTTACCACCCAAGGCCCTGGACCCTCAAAGATTTGGGGTATGTCCTCATCGACTGGAGGCTCTGGCCATTGACCCTTATGTATTTCGGTGTTGTTGGAGTCGGTATTGGCACGCAACTCTACGGTACAGTGATCATTCGCGGTATAAACTCGTCATTCACAGGCGTGCAACTCAGCCTCCTTTTCGCGCCTATCTGGATTGTAAGTCGAACTCTTCTGAACGGCGTCTCTTTCGAATTCTAACAATATTAGATGGATCTTATTGCGATTTTACTTGTCACACCAGTTTCGGATCGTTTCCATCGCCTCCGCCCATTATTTTTCTCATGTGCTGTATGCATCCAGATTGCAGGTCTCCTGACAGTTACTTTTGCTCCTACCTCAAATCCTTGGGCGAGGTACGGAGGGCTTTTGATGGTTGGTTTCGGCCTAGGTCCAACAGTGCCGATATGTATGACCTGGACCAATGAAATCTTTCAACAACGCCACGGGGAGGTCGGCGTTGCTGCTGCAGCGGCACTAGTATCAGGCCTCGGAAATCTTGGTAGCATTACGACAACGTATGCTTTATACACCGGTTGGCCGGCTGATGCTGCTGCTGGACCTCACCAGTACCGTCGAAGCAATTTGGTTATGATCGGCATTCTCTGCGTCAGTATTCTTAGCAGCATCGTCATGTTTGTTGCGCTGAAGATCGTCGGCAACAAACCCAGTCAAAAAATTGGCAGCGGTGGAAGCTCTATAATGGACGGAGCAGATGAATTCCAAGACGGCGCGGCACGTCGTGAGCTTCAACAACGCGGCTTCGGTCGTATGTGGTGGAGCAAGAAGACATAAACTCCAACTTGACCGTGGTCCATGATTTTCAACAATCCAGCAATGCGCTATAGAGAGTGGATGTCGCCCCCTCTCAGATTCTAGGGCAGTTCAACCTGTCATTCTTTTCACCGTTTCCTTCGACATATTACAACTTTGCCACGAGCCCCTAGTACGAATCACGCCCATTGGATGTCCGATATGCATGTCACACGGAGAGTTTCTAACTCCGACAGCGAAAGTGCCGTTGCGCCATCGCTGGGGCTGGCGTATCGGAATGAAAGAGAAGGCGGGGCGAGAATGCCGGAACGCTATCGCTTTTTGCTTATCTTGTGGGACGGTGGCGCACACGGAGGTTTTATTTTGATTATTTCCCGGCGGGCTTTTCTCTTTTTGGTTTTGGCGTTTGCATATGATACCCCATCTGTGTTTTGAATACGCTGTCATTCGAGGCTCTCCACCAACTGACTCGCCGGCGAAAGTGCTACTACGCCATCGCTTGGGACGGCGTGTTGCAGCCGAGACGGGACCGACGACAATGCTTCTGCGCTATCGTTTGGGAGCTCGTCTCGTGGGCGTTGCTTACACACGTTTTTTCGAGTTTCTTCTTGGAATACCTAGTATTGGATAAGAGTAAAGGTGGTCTTGCGGTATGCTTGCTACCTCGCTACATACAATTAAGCGAATATATATTTTGGTCTCACATCTATCATGTTTCCTTGACGCCCCTTTCCCACCTAGGCGATACATGATATCCGCTGCCTAGACGTGAGACTTGTATTATGGTATAATATTATTAGTAGGAATTATAGGCGCTGTCGGTCAACAACTGCGACTTGGCCTCGCAGCATCTAATGGCTCGCCTTAATCATTGTGAATCCAGGTCCCACAGGTTCCAAGATTCGAACCTCCCTAGGCTTCAGGAACATGGGCTCGGTTATCTCGAAGTACTCCTTATAGTACGGCTTTGTGAGTTGATTCTTTTCATATGGGTTAGTCTCATTCTTGTTTTTACTCGTTCTATATTCAAGGGGATGGTGGGACTTAGACCTACCTCCATGAGCCATTGCATTTCCTTTCCCCTAATTTTTAGTTAGAACTTGGTTCAAATTCCTATTTCGTAGATGGAAAGTAAACTCATACCAATTCTCGACCCAACTGATCTTTCCTGGTTCTTCGGCGGATCTGTAAACCTCAAAGAATAGACAGTCTGGCTCAGCAGCCACGACATCGAAAACCTCCTTGAATACAGCCAGAAACTTCTCGACGTTCTCTGGCGCGATGTGTACCGTCACATGGACACTGGTACCCTTGAATGAGGATGCAGCCGCGTTGGTCGATTCAGCGCTATCATCCATCGGTTTTTCGGGGGCCTTAACAGGCGGCGCTTCTACCTTAGACTCGGGAGATTTGGTCGTTGAGATGGTGGTGGTAGTAGCGACGGGTTGAACAGACTTTCTCTTGGCGGCCTTCTCTTCGCTTTTGCTCCTTTTACTCCCGCTACGACCGAGAGCGATGCTGCTATTCCTCCAATGCTTGAGCATCGAGCTTCTTATACTGCTGCCTGTAGTAGTGCTCATGTTGAATGTGTATTTGGAGAAATCTTGACCCACAACGCCGTGTTTACGGTAACTTCGGGATGAAACATATTCTCTATTGACAGCGTCGTAATTTGGTCGAGGTCGTATGTCGTCAGTATATAAAGATGCCAATGTTACGTTAAGACTCAATCGTCTAGGTACCGGGGGGAGGGAACGTGGGGACTTTCGCAGAATTATTTACGGCTCGTGGCGCGGCGGCGTCGACTAGAACAAAAGGGGCAGTAGACCAGTGGTTTGTGGACCCGCTATAGGTCCAGCTGCAAGGGACTATTTTTTAATACTATCGGGCTTAACAAAGTAGCAGACGCAGGTAGAAAGGTTCTACGCAGCCCCAATCACGGCAAGATGAGGGGAGATGCTGCAGAGACGATGCAGAAAGCGATGGGGAGTGCTGAGTGGGTGACATGGGATGCAAGCGATGCGTGCAGAATAGTCACTGCAACGTACCCCAGCAGATCTGTGTTGCCCCGTGTGTTGCCGCAATGGGGATTTAGGATTGAAACATCCTAGAATATCCATAAAAGAATCCAAGCATTTCCCGGTTCAGGTTATCAAATCCTACCAAATCAGGTAAGCCGGCGAAGGAACTTACCTAGTATTTTGCGAGCTCTGGCTCTTTTTACTTTCTGCCTGAGTCTGGATCGGGTTTAACGAATCAACGATGATGAGACCATCGACCTGTCATTTATCATTTACAAACGAAACAACCAACCTAAATGAAAGAAAAAAAAGTCCCAATCTTCCTCATACGTCGATCCTAGCCTAACCCTATCTAGGCAACATGGCCGCGTCGAAACTTAGTCACTTTCATTATCGCAATGACGATTACTGGAAATTATCCGACTCGACTAATTTACGAATATAACAAGTTCAGACTTTCTCCAAACGGCACACGGTAACATGCTTCCCGTCTTTCCTGGAATGACAGAATGCATTTCACGGCGCACGACGGCGCGGCACGGTGCAGGGCCGGTTTGACTCCCTCCAAGGGTTCCGAATCCTTGGGTTAAGCGAGCAGTAGCGGGCGGTGAATGTGTAGTCGGAAATAGTCGCCAGAAGGAATGATGACAAATTTCATGATGGACAGAACCGAGTATAGATCACGGTTTCAAGCATGTTACTCTAACTCTTAGTTGTAACATCGTAACTACGACATATTCTCCTTTCGGTCTAAGTTCCTGATAAGGACTTGGTGATCATGAAGTCTCATCGCATCTACGATTAGGGGATAGTCTGCCAATCAGTTCTGTTTTACGATAGTTATATCCGGACGTGGAAATTCGTTTCTTTGTCAACCTATCTGGTTCTTCCGTTACCGAAAGAGTGAGGGCAGCCACAAGACCATATTTCTATTGCTCCTAAACTTATTGTCTTGACCAATCTCCGAGCGATGGTCCGAGTTCTAAGCTACTTATTCAGCTGTCAGGGTCTGGAATATTGCTGCTGATTACCTCCTAAAGAGAAGACTCTCGTCTCGAGCCAGAATTCATTACGCTTATACCCAATCACTGCCGACACAAACCTGTGTAACCGTATGTAAGCCCGGGTACACTAGTCGACGCCTCCTGCTCAAAGAGGCACGCCGTAACTCAATTTGCGAGGCATTGATATAGAGTAGGTAGTAATTTAATTCCGAGAACCACTAATAGCTGCTGGCGTATGTAGGAGGAAAAAAAGAACCTACCGGCCTATGAATGCCGGCAGCTCGACAACCTTACTTAATTAGCTTCATCGAGGGTCTCGAATCCGGGATTTCGGTTTGACTGCTTACATGCACTGGTCCTTTGCCGATGTGGCAGGGTCCGGCCCTATGATTATATCACAATATGATCAAATACATATGTACGTCCTTAAACATACATACATGATGCCGGACGCAGATCGTCCATAGAACTAATCCGCCATTTAAGCCATTCGGGTCCGCTTGATTGTTTCCGAAGCGGTGTAGATCAGATGACCTTTTTTTTATATCCGTTTTCGTTGCAGATGGACTTTTATCTCTTGGGTTTTTATGAGTTGGAGTATGCGATGCGGAATCGGACGCGAAGTTGTGGTTTTGATGCCCATTTGACATATCATCACAATATTATTTTCGCTCTTCATGTCGCTTTCGTATGTGTCAGAAACACTTGGACAAGGTAACGTAACTTGCACTGATCTATTCATTTTTGGATCACATACGCGAAGGCTATGAAAGAAAGCTATTGCTTACTCGTCATGTTAATATCTAACTGATTTGAAGTAGGTCGATTCTACGAAATAGAACTAATACGATATCATGCCTCTATCTAACCCCCCTTAATGATATTAGTAACTAAACTCAGAAATTTGTTGGCACCCTAACAGCCATTTCCAAGTTAGATACCACTTGCCGGTGAAATCCTACCCTATTATCGCTACTTTGTCTCCCCAACATCGCAACTAGGTGACCTCCCTTACTCGACATATCACCTTGATACCACCTCGATACGTACGTATGATTCTGAGTTCAACACTACCCAGAAATCCCAGTTAGTTTCTTTCACAAGCCATGAGCAAAGGGGGAGACAATATGGGCGATTAGCACCAACACTTCCATAACTCGTCAATACGCGGGTTCGAGAATACATATCGCCCCTATCCGGCGATTGAACCCGCCTGGACATTTAAATTCTAGTAGACATCAACTCTACACGTTTCAACGCATATCTAACATATAAGGACTCGGGGATATAATGGTAGTATTATCGGTAAAGACAAGTTATCCTAATCATCTACGATCAACCAGCGACAAGTTTTCGACAAGCGAATTCCTATCCAACTCACCCTCTAACAACCTAGGTTTCTATCTTAACAACCTCAGAATACATCGTGAAGAATTTAAGCCTATCTCTACGAATCGACGATCCTAAACAACAACCGGATCCCCCCTCCCCGCCGGCGCCGCCCCCTCCAGCCTAGGCATTCTGGACCGCCACCCCTCGTGCGCCCCGGGTCTCGCACTCGCAATCCCCAGCATCATCTCCGCCGAAGTGCGGATCCGGGGCTCCAGGAGAACGGCGTGTCTCCCCATTCCCCCGTTACCATTCCCTACCTCCACCCTACCTTCACTCCCATTCCCTCCCACCTTCCCCCTTTCCCCCTCACCCTCCTTGCTCCTCCCCATCCCCTTCTCTTCCTCTTTTCCCATTCGCATCCCCCTCTCTCCCCGCCGTTTCTTCGATCCCAAAGGCGGCGCTCGCTTCACTCTCGCCCTGTACCCCCCCGTCTTCGCGGCGCGGAACACGGGTTTCGGAAGGTTTAGGGGGCGGAGCTTGGGGTGGGGGTTTGGTTGGAGGGCGGAGCGGAGGGGGTCGGATGTGGCTTGTGGGACTGTGGGGAGGAGGGATGGGAAGGCTGGGAAGAGATCGTGGAGGGGGGTTAGGGAGAGGAGGTTTGGGGGTTGGAAGGGGGGTGCGGTTGAGTTTGGGGTTGGGGTTGGTAGTTGGGCCATGGTGGTTTATGGGGGATGGGATGGGATGTTGGGATAATGTAGATGGATAGGTAGATAGGTGCGTGTATAGAGGTAGGTTCACTTTACACTTACGGACGACTTGGATGAGGGAGCTACGGGTAGGTAGGTTTCTAGATCACTCACACAGTCACGTATGTAGGTACCTAAGCGACGGCGATGATGACGAACTGGGATGCTGGATATGGTGGGCTTATATAATTGACGATAGCTATGAACAACGCTATTGTACGGTAAGTTTGTGTGATAACTCGGCGATTGTTTCTACTATTGTCAAAGAAGTTAGACTAGAACATACCTACCTAGTAGGTAGGCCACCTGCAGGTATTTATGGTTGCTCTATCGTAGCGAGATCATTACGAAGTGATACAGAGGGGATTGTACACCATTATTCATGAAATAAATGCTTCTATCTCTTATTTTGGAAGACATTAGCATTTTATGGACTTAACAAGTCTTGTTTACCTATGAGGACTAAATAGGATCGGTATATTCCTAATCTTTTATGATTAGACGAAGAGACGAAGAGACGAAGACTTGTTCTTCGTAAACTATATATTTATTCATGTCGCCAAAGAAAATTTAACAAAGGGGTTGATACATACCGCCCCCATAATAATAACATATTAGCTTAGCACTTCGATTTTATAATTCTTTTATAGGTATCTAGAATAACCATCATTGACTTGGTTCCTTTGACCGCATACTCGTCCTCTATAAAATCTTTACTTAGTATGTCAAGATCATAGCTGCTATATGTAATACCTAAATCTAGACAGAGACTATTGATACCAAGACCACGAAAAAAATAATGATTAGGCCATCCAAGGAATCGAACCTCAGCACTTAGCAATACATGTGACCTACTCCATCATATAAGGATACGGTATCATGCGGGTTAGCGCAAACTACGTATTACCAAGTCAATGCCAACACGGTCCTCAGCACTGGTATCGGGTGCTCTAGTGTATTGAAAATTTTAAGTTTTAACTCAGTTCTTGTGCTTTGTTTATCGTCGGGCAAACAACGGTTAAGCTGGAACTTGAGGCCATAATATAATTTGGAAAATTTACATAGTTGATATGGAGAGATGTAGAGATGTAGATATTAAGCATCCGACCTTACGTAAGTAACGAATTGAAGAAACTATGGAGACTTCAAGATGCTGCGCCTTAACTTAGAATCATTTCACGACTATACCTAAAATCAAAGAAGGCTAGCAAGTAGTTAGATGGAATAGAGCCATATATATATCGGTCGATGGTGGTCCGTTTAAGGTGCAACGAACTCTCGTTAGGCCATCGCGAAAAACGAGGCGGAAAGTGGAGTTTATGGATAATTCCCGAACAAAGATTTAGAACCGAAAAATGGTCACGATAAGTGCATGTACGGGAAGCCCGGTCTCCGTGCTTCGCCACCTTACTTACGCACACGCGATTACGTGCGAGCGATACCTAGCGATTGACTCGTGCAGTAATACTAGGCATCTATGTATGGTTGGTGTAGGTTTGTTCCGTATTTGCCGGACGGGAGAACGGGATGGGGCGGGCTAATGCACGTGGGAAAAGGAGAATCTGGCGGTATGAAGAGAGGAGATAATGTACCTGGGTTAAAATGCATAGAGCTTACGGATTGCGGAAAATGGGTAGGTACTTGGGTGGTACATATTTAGAAAAGAAGAAAGTGTTGTAAAAATCGCATGTAGAAGAACATTAGTAAAGAGGCATTTACTTTCCTACGGCAAATATCGCGAAAATCAGAAGCAATGAAAATATGTATAGGAATGCAATTCGCATTAGGGCATAACTAATTCGTATCTCAGAATGCCGATCGTGAAACCGTGTTATGAGTTCCTGTATTTACAGCGATAATCACAAGGGCAACGTTGGGAAACCCCTATGGTTTCCTCGGGGGTGAGCATTGGCTATAGTATTGCGGCCAGGAAAGATGAGTAAAGAGGGAGGTTAATAGACCCAAGTTACTGGGGGCGATCCCATTCATTAGGTTTGGTCGTGAACCACACGGGATTCCAGTATTCGGGGAGGATCACCCGTTCCATAAGACATCTTCCCATTTTCCATGAGGCAACGGCGGATATGTATCTTCTTTCCATAAGCATAAAGCTGCTTTAAAAGATGAAATTGATGACTCCTTTGGGCCGAACCTATGTTGCAACAGCCGTATCGCGAGTAGAAAACTCCGGAGAGGCAAGGAAGCCAGTGTGGCAAGATATTCCCATCGATGTATGGCTGCATCTCATTTTTCAGGCGCATTGCGATGTAGATATCATCTTAGTAGGTCAGATTGAAGAGTAAACTCATTTCCCTCTTCCCCTGCCTCTTCCTCCCCGACCGCCACCTCGACCACCTCCTCCTCGACCACCTCCTCGGAATCCTCCACGTGAACCCTGGTTATTTTGACCACCCCGATTACTGGAGCCACCTCTGCTAGGTCTAGAATCGTAGGTCTGGGGGCGGGGAGGCAGAGATCCGGGCGGGGGAGCTAATGGTCTTTCGTACCTATTACTGTTACGAGGAGGGGGACCGGGAGGAAGGGGAGGTTGCCATGCGGCCCCGTTGCCTTGAAGTGGAGGCGGAGGTGGAGGGCTGAACTCTCTCTCGTTCTGACGGCGGCGGCTCTGATCGTAGTTTCGACGGCCTCCACGTCCACGATTATTGCCTTGTCCGACCGAACCAATGTTGCTCGAAATCCTAATCTGCCCTCGAGGCTCCGGTCTTTGGATAGGTGCGTGGACAAGATCCTCATCCGAATCATCAGAGACGAAATGAGTATGGACTTGTTTCTTTGCCGTCCCACGAATGCGAATATCTGTCTCGGATGAGGGGTTAGACTCTATTCCGACCCAGGCTAAAGCAATATTCTCGCTGTTCGGATCTACATAGAGATTGCGATTTGCCTGGGACCAAGATGTACGCTCCGTAGCATTGCCTCCCTTGTCAGGCAAGCCGCATTCGGAGCCGTAATGACCACTGCCACCGCAGGTGTAGCAGAAGGCTGGTATGTCCTTGACTTTCTTTTGTTGTCCCGGAATGACCTTGTAGGTTCTCCAAATTTCGGTACACTCCTTATCCAAGTGCTTTCCGCCACAGAACGCACACTCATCTTGTTCTTCCGGCGCGAGCGCAAGCTTTTCATTGCAGGTCTTGGTGTTGTGTCCCAATTGGCGACACTTCGAACACCTTCGTCTTGTTGGACAGGCAAACATGCCGTGCTCCTTGCTTCCACAGAATTTGCATTGTAACAGCGGGCATGTACTAGTCTTATGTCCGACCCCATTACAACATAGACAGAAAATGGAAGGGTCTTTTGCGAATGGAAAATATCTTCGTTGTAGCCGCAATTCTTCGTCAGAGCTCGTTCCATTGGAGATTGGTGCGACGGTTTCCTTCTGGATAGATCCATCTGCTGCGATGGATTTCTTTCCTGGCGTCTTACCTTCTGATGCCTGGGTTTTCTTCCTCTGAATACTATTTCGTGCCTTCAAAATTAGAGCGTTCAAGTCAGTGTTTTCTAAGACCTCTTGAGCTACAGCTCGAATTTTGGTGACATGCTTGTTGCTGCCTGTTAAAAGGCCATCCGCTCCTTTGCGTTTCGCGTGGTCTATCATTCCTGTCTTGACGATCTCCACGGATATGCGATCAGCCATACCCTCATTTGCCTCAGCGAGAGCAAGAATCCATGGATAGAGTCTTGCGTCCCAGAAGGCTTTATTGTCGGAAACATTTCGCTTCCTGACTTTAAATGCTTGATGAGGGAGAATCCATGTGGCGCCCTCAACACTAAACACAAGTTGAGGCTTCGACTCCGGTTTAACAGCGTCCTTGGACAGATTGGTGGTAGGAGACGGCGGAGCTTGATAGTCACGGTCTTTAGGATCATCATAGTCTTCATCCTCGTCATCATCTTCTTCATCTTTCGCTTCATGAATATGCCTTGAAGATTCGGAAGAGAGGGTTGCCCGAGACGTGGATGCATTTACGGGAAAGAGTTGCGTGGCCGGTTTTCCAAATGAGGTCCTTGCGCCTACACTAACTCCCTGATTCCAGCCTGCATGTTGTGAAGGAGTGGTTCCGGCGGCGCCAGTTGTGTCGATGAAAAAGGGTTTATCTAAGTCGTCGGCCATACTGCTATCAATTTCGCCGTCCTCGGAAGGCTCGAAGGTATTGATGCCTATGTCATGAGTTTTAGAAGTAGTATTAGAAGCTGTGTTCAATTCCATATCTTGAGAGGCAATAGCGCGAGAAGGTTGAGAAGGACTCGACTCTACTATCTCGCCATCATCCAGATCTGAGTCGTCGCTGTTGTTGAAATTATCTGTTTTTTGCTTTTTTGAGGCAGGTGTTGATTTTTCAATATACGCGCCCTCATCGTCAGATTGAGATAAACCCTTCAACTGCTCCCCGTAATCGCGTGGCCGCTTTTGGCCGGATAGGCTACTAGGAGTACTGATTTCACCCTGGCCAGCGCTGGGAAGGGAATCCTCGATGGCGCCACTCATTACAATGTAGTGACGCACACGAGGACATATGTTGACGATGATGAAATGCCTAAGTACCTAAGTACGTTGAGAAAAGTTGAGGTTGTTAAATTCTGGATGTTTTTTTCTCTCCTTTTTTCTTTTTCTGTGAGGCGTAACCTGTAAAGCGCGTCTAGATTGTGAAGTACCTGTTAAATAAGTACCTAGGCAAGGTCTTATCTTGAGAACTGCGACCGAAAGAAACGCGGTTTTGATGAATTTTGATGAATTTTGATGAATTGGATGTATTGGCATTCAATATCGAAAATTCATTCTCGATATTAAATGTTGATATTGAGGCTCTTAAGATTTTAGGAGATTATCTAAAGTAACGTACCTGGTGGTACTTAGTGGTACGTACCTTATTATCGAGTTTGGTACTTTGTTACTTCCATGGATGTAGATCTCGGGGAAACTTCCAAGGTCGAAATGGCAAATTTGTGGCGATGCACTTGTACAATCAGAAACAAACCTTGGAACGTAGCACAGGTAAAACAATGCAACAGTGCAGTACCCATATTATTCATCTAAACGAGTATTTAGTACCAGCTTAGTACCGGCTTAGTACCAACTTAGTAGAAGCTTGGACCTGGCTCCAACGGTCTGGAAACTTAAGAAACCTGAGCTGCCTGAGATGTGAGTGCACGACAATCACGTGATCTCGTGAGACCCTGGTTGCGTATCTTAGCTTGGATACTTGGTGACATTGATGCGTTACTTTGGTACATTAAGGAAGAAAGTTCAAGAAAGTCAAGTCAAGTGGCCAGAAATGGGCGAAGACCCAATTTTACCCAATTTTGACCCCGAAATCTCCAGCTGTAGCCACGCAGCAATTCTCAGTGTAGGCGAAAAAAATGGAGCTTTCATTGGCGATTTTATTGCCCAGGTGGTACTTCGACCCCTGTCTCCAAATGGTGTCCCTTGTAAAGTTGTCCTTGAGTTTTGAATGTTCCTTCAATCACCACTGAATGCTGAATACTATCCACTACCTATTATTTCTCTTTGATCATCACCTTCCATAACCCTTCTTGTCTTGTCTTGTTCTACCTAAATTAACCTATCATTCTTCTTCTAACCTTCGTGACCGACCACTTTATTCGTAATACACTTCACTTAATTGTATTCATCGTCAATCAATTACATCAGCTTTTCTCTGAGTTAAGAGTGCAAATATTAGAAAGTCTCCTGTCTGGCCTCATCGCGCAAGTCAATGTCCTTTACGACCCTCCTCTCCTAAACGCAGCATTTCGTAGTTTTCCTTTACTCCTCGACAACTGCTGCAATTTTGCGATACCCTCTAGACTATTTCTACCATTCCCGTTTCCGAGCCTAGCAACCCACCGCTAGCAGTTCCCCTTTAAAAGCCTCCGCCGTCGTAACGGCATCAGATAGCTCTACGCTTCGAATATTCCCTCCCCGGTAAGCCGACGAAGAACGTCCCCGTTCGATCCGAGCTGTGCGGATGACGACCACTACGAACAAAACAATTTCGAGGTCGACTTCCCCGTCCAATACCGCCAAAGTGTCTTCCCCAATCCTCATTCCCCGCACCGTCTCCTACGACGCCGGTACGAACCCCCCGACACGGGGTAGTACCTATCTCGGTATGACTGACTCTAAGTCGACGAGGAGACGACGGTCTAGTAGCATCCTTCAGATATATCAGGAACCGCAGGAGCCATTGGAGCAGCTGAGTGATCAGTCCGCTCTCCCAAACCTCAATGCGAACTGGGTCAATGCTAAAGGTACGTTAAGACGTTATATCGGGTATATTTCCTCGCTTTACGGGGCAGAGGTTATGTCTTTTCTACAGACGGGACATATAAGCTAATAGGGGAATATTAATAGGAGCATGGACCATCCACATTGTTCTGATCGCTGCGCTGAAGATTCTGTGGGATGTAATCCCCGGCGTCTCTCAGGAGACTTCCTGGACCCTGACAAACATATCTTACATGTTCGGATCTTACATCATGTTTCACTACGTTCGTGGCGTACCGTTCGACTTCAATAGTGGTGCATACGATAATCTGAATATGTGGGAGCAAATCGACGACGGCGCACAATACACACCGGCCAAGAAATTCCTTCTCAGTGTTCCTATCGTGCTGTTTCTCTTGAGTACGCATTATACTCACTATGATCTCACATATTTCACTATAAACTTTCTAGCTGTGCTAGCGGTAGTCATACCGAAACTACCCTTCGTACGTTTCTAAATGTTTGTCTGTTTCAGGAATAGAATGGCTAACTGGTAATTTTACAGAGTCACCGTATGAGAGTAGGTATATTTTCAGGTGTGCCAGAAGAGTAAAACAGGACGGCATCGGGCACGCTCGCACTGAAGTTCGACAACGGTTGCGGGCTTCATACTGGGAGGCAGCGAATTTCGGGAGGGTGATACACAAAAGCAAACGGCGGGAGGTGATAACCGGGCCGATCATTTGACTGTAGGAAACAAGTCAGTCTGGAAAAAAGTGCCAGGTTTCAAGACCATTCATACTGCACTGTTCCCATGTGCTTTGCCTAGCCAAGTTTTTGTGAAGACGGTCAGCTCCAAAGCGCCCTTCTGAGTACGTCTGTGCTCTTGTCAATGACGAATGCTGTGACCGTGTGCGCATGTTGAAGCTGTGATGCTATAAATGATGAGCTCCTAACGCCAAGTCCCGGCTTGATCTGAGTCCCATTCTTGGTAGTTCTTGGTAGTATAGTCGTGGGGTTTTATCAGAAGCTATATGAGCATATCCGCGACCCAGATCGTATATATATGATATATTGTGAATCCACGTAAGCCTATATGACTTGGCACCACTATATCCAAACCCTAGAGTTTGTAAGTTTCCCATGAAGGTCAATGTTACTAGTAAGCTTCTGTCCATCTATACACTAAACTAAGATGACCACAGATTCGTCATAGGAGGACAATGTGATTGCTTATTTACTATTGCTTTGACATTTCATCCCACAGATGGCTCTCTTTGCGACGGGATATAAAAGGGCGAGATGGGACGAGATGGGAGGTCAGATTAGATGAACTTGTCCACTGCTCGAATCTTGCATCTAGTCTTTGTGACCTACCTCATACTTACCTAGCTATTATAATAATTAGACCGGAAGCTTCCAGCCAAAATGAGAACCTCGGCCGTTACAACCGCCCTGGTGACTATCATCAGCCTGGCGGGCGCCGTTGTCCCTTCCGAAAAGGAGGAGGTCAAGGACCTCGACATGCCGGGGTGGGACTCTACTCCAGTCGGTCCGCAAGAACAGGTCTCTCCCGAATCCTCTACGGACCCTTCCGTTCCTCTGCCCCTCCCCTACCTTAAGCTAGTTAATCTAGACGAACCGGGCAAGCCATCAAAACCAACTATATATACCAAGACTACCAAAACTACGAAGTCTACAAAATCAACGCAGCCTACCAAGTCGACGAAGTACACCAAGACCACCAAGTCTACAAAGTCAACTGAGTCTCCTAAACCAACGAAGCCCACCAAACCAACTAAGCCCGTTAAATTTACTGAGACCAAGTCTACCAAATCTACGAAGTCTACGGAGTGCCCCGAATCGACCAAGTCAACAGAATCGACTAAATCAACAGAGACAACCAAATCAACCAAATCTACTAAATCTACCTACTGCCCGGAAACTACCAAATACACCTCACCTACCAAGTCGACTGAAACCACCAAGTCTACCAAATTCACCAAGTCTACAAAATCGACCGAATCTACTAAATCAACCAAGACAACCAAGTCAACCAAGCTCGCCAAGGAGACAGAGCCGACAAAGCCAACCAAGTCTACAAAGTCGACCAAGTCACCTACCAAAACACCTACCAAGACCCCCACCAAGCCAACCAAGCAAGCCGAACCCAGCAAGCCCAGCAAACCCGAGGACGCGCACCCGCGCGTCTCAAGCGAAGACGGGGAAGCAAACAACAACAACGAAGCCTCGCCCAACGAACTCGGCGGTGACTCAGGCGACAACAACGACGGCAACGACGAAGACCACAACGAGCGGGAGGGGTTCAAGCCCGGGCACGGAATCGCAGCTAATGAGATCGACGGCGGGGATACCGGGGATAACAACGACAACAACGACGAGGACCAGGACGAGAGAGTCGAGGCACTTAGATCCGGGGATGAGGATGGAATTGAGGGTGGGGAGCGCGCGCGCACGACGAAGACGCAGACCGGTGGTGTGGTGGTGATCATGGAGGAGCGCAGCAGGGCGATGGCGCTGGCTGGATTGGCTGTGGCGCTGGCTGCGGCGGTGGTGTTGTTGACTTAGGGGGTGGGTTTGATGGATATGGATATGGGGAGGAGGAGGAGGAGGAGGAGGCTGTGAGATTTGGTTTTCTGGGCTGGGATGGAGACACGGATATGGATACTTGCCTGCTTTGGACTTGTTTGTTGGTTGGTTTTAATACTTAATGGAGGACGCGTGGAGGGGGTCGTGGAGAAGGGGATTTTTTGTTGCGGTGGTGGTGATGGTGGATGTGGGGGTTGTGATCGTTGTGGTTGTGGTTGTAGTTGCTGTTGTGGTGGTTGTGGTGGTTGATGTGGTTGATGCTGTGTATCGTACGTAATGTGTGCTTCGTGAATACGCCTAATAATAGAACTCTCCTTTCGTTGCTGTTGTTGCTGCGTCTTTCATGAATCTTTTTTTCGATTTTCTCTGGCTTTGATGTGATTGGTGATGAGACTTGTTCCGACTCGGTAGTTGTGATGGTGCGGATGACGGTGCGGGCGGGGGAGAGTTACGCAGGTAAGCGCTAATAGGGAATGCAGTATTTATATGGTCTGGCTCGCTTGGGACGACCAGTCCAAGGGTGGGAGTGATACCGGGTAGCATCCGCCCTACATAATTCCGATGTATGCCTTAAATGAGAAGAAAATGGTAAATTCGGCGAGGATTCTACGCTCGGATTTCCGAGACCGAGCGCTGCTTCGGCTTTCTATACCTTGTAGGTTGGTGATCGCATTGGCGGTGTGGTTTCTGTAACCCGTAGTCTAATCGCTATCTCTCAAGTTAGCAATAGCGAGCGAAGTTTTGAAGTTGAGCCAAGTGAGGTGGTTCGTCAGATACTAGTAAGTAGATCAATTGGTCATGAAATTATTGGAGTCATTATTCAAGAGTCATACCTGAAAGAGCGATGATTAGTGCGGGAATAAAGTAGTGCTACAACGTGCGGAGATAATAACCTTGGGCGATATTTCATCTTATCTGATCCGCATGCACTTCGGGTCTATCGGCGAACTACTCACGGCTGGTGGGTTTCGGCTCCGGAGTCGGGGCAGCTACGTAAGGCAACATCAACCTTCCCTCGGTTTACCTACCTAGTAGGAATGCGAGAACTGGGAGGAGCCTATGTGGAGGGAAGGAGAGGAAATGAATGACAAAGGAATTATACTATATGTACAAACCTACGTAGTACACAGTGGGGGTGACGCAATCTGCAGTTGCCCGGTTTTATAACTGCTTAAAGTTATATCTTTCCTAGACAACCACGTTTTGGCGTTTTTTTACGTCTCACCCTGTGTAACCTAGTATTCATTCTAGACTATCAGGTAGATGCGACGGTGACTCGAGTCGTAACATATACGAAGGAATATATAATAGAGTTATTTGCTACCTTCTCTTTGTTCAGTAAGTGTCTTCTTAGCACTCCATTCTCCTCGCTTCTTCAGAATCTTCACTTACTCATACAACTGTTAGATACCTAACTAGATCTATTTATTTGCTTCCACATCGATATCAGTCAAGATGAAGGAAGGAACAACATTACTTTACACCACCGAGACGCTGGGCGACCGCGTTTCCAAATACTCTGAGTCCATCTCAGTCACAGTTCCTCAGAAACTCCGAGACTACCATGCCCGTATCTTCAAGGATCGTGATGATTCTAACTACATGATCTCGACCTTCGAGTCTCAGGCATTGATCTTTCTCGGACGTATGATCGGCGCCAAACGAGGTACGTTCATCGCCGCCTCCCCCTTTGCCACTCAAATGCTGAATCCTTGATTAAGGGTATCACTGAGTGTGTAGGAACTGGGTATACTCAAGCATGATCCGCTAACACATCCACAGTTCTTGAGATTGGCGTTTATGTTGGGTTTTCGGCTAGTATGTGATACCTTTAGCCTGTCTCGGGAGTTGATATCATATCCACATTTGCATGGGAATTATTTCCCCCGAGACACATCCGAATTACTAAACTTATTATTCGAACACGTGACTAACCACTGTTGTTATAGTGATTTGGAGCCATGCTGTCGGACCTCAAGGCAAGGTCACTGGTCTTGAGTATGACGAAGAATATTCCGAGTTGGCGTTGAAGGCTGCGAAAGAGAACGGCTACGACAACATCGAGATCCACACCGGTGATGCTGCCGAGACGTAAGAAAGCCTTCTCAATTCCTTTTCTGTCTCTTGCCCCTTTATTTTAGCCTTAGACATTTAGAAGCACACTGACCTATGCCCAGTCTCCCCAAGCTCGCTTACCCCGACGAGCCGTATGATATCGTCTTCATCGATGCGAACAAGACAGCGTATCCGGGATATCTAGCTAAGATCTTAGAGATGTCGCAGCCGGGTGCGAAGAAGCGGCTCGTACGCCAGGGGGGTATTATCGCCGCAGACAACGCGCTGCGTCGCGGCCTCGTTGCCGATTCCAGCTCCGATAACCCATGGCTGCCCGCCGACTTCGCGACCGGATGGGAGGGGAGCGCTGTTGCTGCTATTCGGAAGTACAACAAGGCTGCGGCGGAGAACAGTCGGTTGGAGACGTTTATGGTCCCGCTTTGGGATGGGTTGAATTTGGCTAGACTTGTGGATTAAATGCCTTCGTAGTCGGGTATCGGGTAGTTTTTGTTGGTCGGAAATTTTTACGTGGTTGGGATAAGGCCAGGTTAGACTGAGAGGATGATGCGGGATGTATGATGTGCGACAATTTACGAAGTATCATTTACGCTTGTCGACTGCATAAGGTGTTACCGTAAGAGGTATAAGGTTGTCAAAGGACAGGGGCCGGTGACATTATACGCATCGTCGCCGCCATTCGGTAACCAATCAATTGATCGGTTTATCACTCACTTGAACTGATGTTGGTGACGGAACTATGAGGGCCACATGTAAGGTGTCACGGTGTCACCCACCATTATGGCGGGAGCTGAAATTTGCCCCCCTTCCCGTGTCTTGGCACGGGTAACGAAATTAAGCCCCGCGAACGCCACCACAATGCTCGACCGAATATAGAGATATCTTGTGAATTGTGGCTTCGTGAATTGTTTTGGTCATAGATGCTAGGTAAACGCCAAATTATGACCTATTAAGAATTCTAAGATGAAGAGAATCCTCATCCACTCACCCAAGCCTAGGATCTAGGTATCTGTTAATATGTACCGGTAAAATTACCCAATCCATCTAGGAATGTTCCGTCGTCCCGTTCCGCACCGGCCCCCAAATTATGAGATTACGGCGTAGGATCTTGCGTGCAAGCTGCAGCTCCGGATGAAGCACAAGGTATGATCGCCGACTGCGCCGCCTCCACCATCGGGATTGTTGGCATATATCTGCAGCCTGCGCCTCGGGATCCGGAAATAGATACCCAGGTAGGTTGATTCGATTAGATTAATTGCAACAGTAATACAGCAACAGAGATGTGATTAAAACGATGGTGTTTCGATCAACAATCGCCATGTGTTCTCGTCTTCTCTTTCTCTTTCTGCTTCCCTGTATGGGATATGGCTAGAGACTGTGTTACCGACTATCGAAAGGTACCATGAGGACTTAACAATAGGCCGATGAAAGGAAATAACAAGTGGTCGACCTCGAATAATGCTCGCAGTAATGCCAGTCTTCTCTAAGCCTGATGAGCCTCATAAGTCCCAGGGCTTCGGCAATATCCCTACTAAAAACGCAGTGCAAGGATCAAATCCATTTCAGAGAAATGATGGCGACCACGGAGATGGCGAACATGATGGTTGGAACTGGGGCTCTCTAGGTAATAATCCGAAACCTACGAATACGCACGACGAACGAACATCGGTTAAAACACACACCACAACCCCGGGAAGCGGGAGGGGAGGAAACAAATCATCTACAACATCGAAAGAAGCAGAACCACCTCCAACACCAACGGTCACCCCTCCAAACAACACAGAAAACCCATCACCATCCGAACCTCACACCGAGCCAACCAGTGACGGAAGCGCCGCCGAACAAACCCCAACCCCAGCCCAAACCACCGCTCCCGCTCCCGCAGAAACCAGCGACACACCCACAAACTCTACGAGCCAAAACCCCCCACCCGAAGATCCCAGCACCGACACCCCCACCGCAGCCAGTCCCACCGACCCTCCAGACCCAAGCACCGAAGCCGAATCCGATAACCCGAACCAAACCCCCCTTCCAGACAGCGACTCGGTCATCACCGATCAACCGTCCAGCACCTACGACCACTCACGCACGCATACACACAGCTACAGCTCTACATCCACATATCCCGCCCTTTCGGAACCAACAACAGCAACAGTGACAACAACAACACTAGCCGCACCCCTAGGAACAGCAGACTCCAGCTCCCACAACACTACAAACGGGGCCGCGCTCCCGACGTTCGCTATCCCGCTGATCGTGCTCGCGGCACTAATGGGGTTTGCGTTTCTAGCTGCGTTGGTGGTTTTCGGGGTGCGTGAGCGGAGGCGGAAAGATGGTGGTGGGGTGGGGGATATATCAGGTGCTGTGGGTGGAGGGGAGGGAGGAAGTGAAGGGGGAGGAGGGGGGAAACCGAATTACCTGCGCGCGGTGGGCAAAGCAGCGGGTGTAGCTACTGGAGTCGCGGGGGTGCTTTGGGTTGTGAGATGGTTGAGGGGGCGGGGTGGGGAGGAGAGGAGGGAGAGGGAGAGGAGGTATTTCGAGGCTGTTGTGGCGTATGCGAAGGTTGGAGAGGAGAGGGAGGAGCGTGGGCTTGAGGGTGGTGGGGAGAAGGAGTTGGAGGTTGAGGTGGAGAGGAGTGGGATAGGGGGGCGGGGAGTTGAAAGGGGGAGGGAGAGGGAGAGGGGACAGGATGCCGCGAGTCAGCGGTCGGAAAGTATGGTTGTTATGAGCGCTGCGCTGGGATACACGCCGGCGCCGGCGCCGGCGCTTATCAGTGTCACGCAGCCGTTGAGGAGGAGCGCGTCTGTGGTTTCGTCGCTGTCGTCGTCGACGCGGAGTCAGGGGCAGTATGAACGGTTGGTCCCGTCGCCGGTGACGGATGAGTCGCCGTATGTGTGGGCGCCGCCGCCGGTTCCGTCGATTAATCTAGCAGGAGTGGGAACGGGAAGTCAAGGAGCGAATGCGGTGGCGGAGACGGGAGAGTGGAGACGATCGGCTGTTCCAGCGGTTTTGAGACCGGGAGGCGGGGGTTGAAAATATAGCGATCAGCTTGGGAAAAGGTTAGGAATTAATTGAGTGAAGTTTGGATTTCGTTCGATGTAATAATGTAGGTACTATTTTCCCCTTGACGCGATAAACAAAGCTGGTTCATTACGTCTTTGACAGACTGTTTCAATTATTCGAGATTCACATCTCAAGTTTGAGGGAAACATTGGAAGGTCTAGCTAATGCGCCTCTGCTATTAGCTATTTGTTTGCTTCCCCATTTTAGGGGATGGGGGTTAATCAACCAAACCATTGCCAGCAAGGTCGTTGATCTAATGCTGTCGATATAAATGTATGGCCTTCCTAGAGCACTATAAAATATGGGATGACAACAGCTGCGATTCACTCGGCAGATTATCAAGTGACTAATACCTAGCCAAGAAATGTTTTTAGCAATTAGTGTAAATAATCGGGCTTATCTCAGTTCAAAAGGTCATGATTAACATACGTAGATATTGTCGGAATAAATTGCAGGTAAGTCACAGGTGATACTCAACCCTTTTGATGAATCCTTGGAAAATAGGGGTTAGAGACCAATCCTATTTATATGCTATGTTTCTGTACCATTAAAGCTTTCGCTTTTACCTTTATACTTCGAGGAGGGTTAAGCCCAAAGGCCACTCAAGAAAGATTACTCTCATAATGGATGACTTCAGTATCTCTAATGGCCTTTCGCCTGCTGCGCAAATGTCTTCCGAATATGCACCGAGGGCCCAACCTGTCGCATTACCGAAATCAAGTCTAGAAAGATCCTTAAACGAGTACTATTATGAAATTAGAGCGACCATTGAAGGGATGGCGAACGACATCCTGCGACTTGGAAATCCACGATCTGGGCACATCATCACTCGATTTGAACTTCAGCGCGTCCAAATCGATGTCACCGGTACCATCTTTAAATCTCACCCATGTATGGATGCATTCGAAGACGAAACCTCCGAATTAAATGCCAATCAGCACCTATACGCTCCCGTCATCACGATCCCTCTTCCAATGAAAGTCCTGGCCACAGACAAGCGAGTTGGACTACTTAGAAACGCGCTATTGTACGATGATAGCTGCGAGTTCAGGGGGCCTCATGGCATTCCGTTTCGGCGACATCCAGTATACCGCCAGTTTACTCTGGAATTCGTTAATCCATATTCTAATTTGACAACATCTTGTCGAAGCCTCTGGTGCCCATCAACTATGGTCTACCTCCCTGACCCAAGAACAATATTCAGCAGGGAGGATACGGGGTTTATTCTTCACGATACATGGGACGCGGCAGGTCTTCGGGACTGGGGTTCTCACTGCAAGAAGGCTCGTAAACTGCAGCGGAAGCAGGTTGGTTGTATTGAAGGCGAGTGAATATTGGGACAAAAGCGCACTTAAAGAGGTGTCGGTTAGGAGTATCAGGTATAAATTAGGGATCTATACAGAAATGAAAAATCGCATCTAAAAAACATGAAGGTAGTTTCAACTAGTGGGTCGCCTGCCCTTACCCCTGAATCCACGATAATAGGTAGGAGGTATGGAAGGGATAATCCATTACAGGTGGCAGATACCACTGATTGTGATAAAGACAGGCCTTAGACATGGAAGTGGCTACCAACCTTGCTCTAGGACGTAATAATTAAAATCGTAGGTTGGGGATTTGAACTTGAATTTATACATACCTAAAACATAGTCATATATCTAAAAAAAAAGGGATATATTAGCTGATGTGTATCAGTTCTTCTAGATTAAGGTGAAGCCAACATAACACTTAGGAATGGAGAGCTCAGAGAGTTCAGAGAGCACGAAGAGTACGAAGAGCACGGAGAGCAGAGAGGAGTCTATCGGCCTGGATGGCTTTAAGAAACTTTCCCGTGCGCTGTCAGTCTCATCATGGGCAACAAAAGTTCGTCAAGAGCTTTCAAGCGACAGTTCAGATCCCTGCGACCGTATCAATTCCCCGAAATCACCCCCATCGGTTTACACAGAAGATGATGAATCCATACCCGATGAAGACGAGATACTGGGGGACTTGATTTACGGTCTCTTTAGTGCTGTATTGGATAGGTACCCTACCTATACCATCCCCGAGTTGAGACAACACCTTGAAAAGATCTTCACGGACGTGGCATCTCATGTCGAAAACGAATTGCCATCAAAACTAGGATTGTCGAAGAAACTCGACGTAGAATATAAATTAGTGGGAAGATATCCGTATTCGGTGACAACGGAAACGGGAGCTAGTGTTTCTCCATGCATCTCATTCACGGTCCCCAACGATTATCGAGATTGGAAGCATCTGGTTCTCAACAAGAAACGGAGGAAGCGCAAGGAGGTTGCGGATCATATCTGTACAACTGCCTGGGAGATTGTTCGAGACTATCAAAAGACCAAACGCCGTAAAGGAGTCTCATGGACGGATATCCTCGTCATAGAATTGAATTTCGAAGCCATAGACGACAAACACAAAGCGTTCCGGTACAACACCGTTACGGATATGGTATTCTTATTGACGGGCGATAGGGAGAATTGCGTCCTACACGATACTCTGGTTCCAGAGGAATCCAAGGCAATCGGCTTCGCTACTCTCGATTAGGATGGATCGGAAGACTTGTGGGAGACGAGCATTTGGGTTTGGAGTTGGTGGACATGTGGATAGAGTAGAACTAAAATCGGACAAATGAACATTAGACTTGACAATACAATTAAGCCTTGATGCTTAAAAACAGCTGTATTCTAGCGATGCATTTTAGCGATGACTCACTGCGAAACCTTTCAAAATACCGGCTCTTTGATGAATGGATATGTGTTGTGCTGATGGATTGTACACATTGGGCACGGGGACCTGAGTAACAACACGAGAAGTAACTGGCATGTAAGAGGACAACCTTGGAAGTCTCTTAGGCGTAATTGTGAATAAGAGTGTTACAGAACAACAGGCGAACAATGAACAATAAATACCAACCCATTGTCATCGCACAATAAGTATTTATCCACGTCACTCGACCGCGCGATTTCCATGGAGGCACAGTAATATGTGTGTGGGATGAATAGGGGCAACAGGCTCTTAACTGTAAATACCCTCCGGTCATGAGGTAGGCCTATCGCACATAACACAATTCAAACAGGCCTCGGTAAGGACTGTAGGTCTTGAAAATTATATAATTATCCAGGATTTTCTTGACCCTCGACTCCAGCCTTACCTTGGCTATTTACCAGTTACCTCATATCAGTCATACGATTGTAATAAGGCATATTATTGTAAAGGTGGACAAAACTGATCTACAATAAGGCTAGAAGTGGCACTATAATCATGGGTAATAACGGTGGGTATCCTGGCAGGATGCCTCCGTACCAGCAGCCATATCCGCCGTACCAACAGTCGTATCAGCAGCAAGGCTGCCGGCAACCTCAACCGCGAGCTGGGCCTCCTAGTCCTATTATTCCACAACCAGCCATAATTAACGCCGATGGAAGGTTACGGCAGCAGGCTTTACCTACCCGAATGCAAGTACCATACACATCGGGCGGCCTACCTACCGAACCATCTCCGGAATATTATTTCCACCCAGAAGTGACTTATATTGCTCCTCTTCAACCTCAAGTCTACCTTAACAGTTCTTCTAGCCTAGCTACTCAGGTTTCTTATGCGAACTCTCACTTAGGTTCGTCTTATTCAGATGTTAGTATCGATATCAATCCTAGAGCTAAGCCTCGAGGTGTTTCCCCTACTTCCACAGTTCCAGTCGAGGCTCCTGACCCTCCTTCCATTCATCCATTTCCTAAGCGCGACCCCTATTCGCCTAAACATGGTTCACAAGCTGGCCATCCGCCGGTACCCAAAGCGGCTTCTCACCATCATCATCGTTCTCGATCCCACACTCGCACCCATCCTACCCATCATCGATCTTCTTCAGAATTACCTCTCAAGTCAATACTTAAGCAACCCTCACCCCAACATAAACCCGACCCAGAACCCAAACCGAAATCGAAACATCACCACCGCCACCACCACCATCGCCATCACCACAACACCCCCCAAAAACCCATGCCTATCACCAACCCCCACAACCCCCTAGCCCCCGCCCTCACCACCGAGCACGACATCCTCCTCCGGGGCCTAACCGAGCTGGGCCCTCTAACCCGGCCAATCCTCGAAGTCATAACCTACGAGTTCGCGCTCCCAGCACACAACACCGCGAACATCTCCTTCTCGCTAACCGCCATCGACATCGTTCCCCCATCCCCAAACTTACCCGCAACCCACGCCGCGAATCTGCAATGGGATCTCGGCCCGGGAATTCTCCACGGGCTAACCCACGCGCGCGTCCTCGCGCCTCTCCTCACGATAACCCTCCCACCACGCTACCAACCCGCAACAGCACTCCGCGCTTCGCTGCCCGAACCGATAGTTCCCGGCCCGCAACCCGACCACGGCGTCATCGCCGCGTGTGAGCGCGTCGTAGCGGCGTTGCGGTACGGCGGCACAGGACCGAACCCCGCTCCTGTCCCGGCTGTCCCTGACCCAAGCACGCAACACCAACCCGAACGAATCTCCCTCCCCTTCCGCGTCGGCGGCGAGCTGTCCGGAAGTAATTACACTTTCCGCATCGGGGCTGCGGACGAGACGACGATTCTGGGGGCCGAGACGTGGGTGTATCTGCCATCTGCGGAACGGAGGGACCTAGGTGTGCCGGTGTATGAGCGCGTGAAGAAGGATGGACGGGAGGGGAGACGTAAGGTTGGGCGGTGGGCTGGGGAGTGGGGGGTTAGGGGGGAGTTGGGGGTGTTGATTGATGGGGAATAGATGGGGGTGAGAGGAGAGTGAGGGTTTGAAGAGTATGAGACTTGTCTGTGGAGGTGTAGTAGAGGTAGGGAGAAAGGGGAGAGAGGGAGAGAGGAAAGTGGATGTCTGGGGCTTGTACGATACATACCTGGAAGGGTGTACGATACTGGTTCCTAGGCGTTAGGCGGGATATACTATAGAACTAGGGTTATATCCATCCACGAGCATCGTTTGATTTTCCAAGAACAAATTTGACAATATACCTACCTATTCACTCAGACCATTCCGATCTTAACTGTGTGCCTTGTCTTCGGACTCCCGAAAAATAAGCAGCCACCAACGTAATTATTGTGACCCGTAGTCCCATATAGATAGAACGCACGCACTTACGATTTTCCGGCTCGAACTGAAACTCCACAAACGTTTATCTCTGCGCCCGAGACATACATAATGTATTACATTTTAATTTATTCCCATTGCTTATGGACTTATGTACGTTGGTTGGTACATGACTGGTAACACGAGAAGTATCTGTTGGTACCTCCTTTGAAGCATCTCTACCGAAAGGGAAAGCGGTGGTAACACGGAATAAGCAAGATGGTAGGATGAAGAATAACCTATGGCAACTATCTAGCCTTGCCACAAATCACACACCATAACCAAAAGCAAAATTCTGACGAAGCGTCTATTAGGATTCATAAATCGCTTTTATTCTACAACTCTGCAATAGAGGGGTATGGTAAAATCTCCATATGATCGGTCGTCGCCTAAATACCTAAGTAGGGAGAGACCAAAAAAGGTATGAACGGGATGGAGAGATTTTCGAGGTGCGACAATGTGGTGGTGAACCTCAAGAAAAAGAAAGATACCATACCTAAGCTCCACCCCCCGAGAAAGGGGGGCTCGTCCTCCGTATGTAGATGCTTCGGCTAGGAATTGGTGGTTGATACAGTCGGCCCACAGCAAGACGCTGACGACTTGCGAATAGACCGCCACCGTTACGCCCCTCCGTTTTCCTCCTATCCCGGAATACCCTCGCCATGCGCAGATACTTTTGATACACCTTCATGACCGTGTCATTACCAACGACACCTTGCCACCGGTAGGTATACCAATCCCCCCATTTTCAACGTAAAATTCCCATTACACCCTACACCGGCGGTTGCTAGCCAGTATGGCAAATATCGCATCGAGGCGGTCGAGCTTTCTAGACTCTCTGGTAGAATAAAAGGTAAGCAACCTTGTTGTCCTTGATGTTTTCTTTTGCTTGCTTTCCTTTTGTTTGCGTAGTAGTGTTCGGGGCTCCGTTCACGACAGAACTCCATTTCTTGGCTCCGTTAGTCGGAGCGCTGACCTTATTCCATCCCTCGTCGTCACCGGCCTCATTGTCACCGATTCCTTCGAACCTGTTCCCAGAACCACCGACGGCAGTATCCTTCTTGTCCGGTCGAGTCGATGTTTTGACGCGATCGTCTTCGGCGCCTCCCTCAGCTACATCTTCGCTTCTGACGCGTCGGATCACTGTATCATCTAGGCGAATCCATTCACGGCTATCCTGACGCCTGAGATCCACAGTGTAGTGCCCACCACTTGCGTTCTTACCATGATGGTAGACCACAGCGATGAGCCTGTACTTGGGGAAGCCCTGGCCTTCTGCGAGAAAGCTGTTCCTCTTCTGTCGAGAAAAGATCTCTTTCGGAAGTTCGAGCTCAAGTGGGTATCCAATCTTCTTCCAGATCTTGACAGTTCCAGTACCCTCAGTATCGAATTGGAAACGCTTCAGGTGAAGAATAAGAACAGGTGGCAGGGATTCGATGAAAACCTGTTTGACGGCCACCGCATCTTTTCCCCTTGAAGATCCAAAATCGCCATGCAAAGTTTCTGGTGTAGTAAGACCCTTCAGCGCATCAACAATATTATGGACCTGAGGAGAACCAATGTCTAATTGAAGTGGCTGGAAAGGCTCGAGCGTCACGGAGTCTTGTAGACCCGACACCCTTAGTTCCGATCTTAGCTGTCCGCCAAAAACCTTGCTGATAGGAGATAATGCAATGGGGTGTCCGGAAGATCGAGTAATAGCGGCGCGCTGACGTCGCCCCACTTCCAACCAATCATTGGTATCCGGAGTGCTCGTTGGTGATGTTGCCGAAGGAGAGCCAGCCGTAGAATTTCCGGCCGAGTTAGGAAGGTGGCGCATTACTTGGGCGCATTCATCGTGCAGCGCCTCTAGTAGAAAACCGAGAAACTCTTCGGCATCTTGCTGATGTCCACGCTATATAACCTTATTAGATAAATTCAATAATAGGTATAGAAATACTTACCCTCATGCTGGAAAATCTAGGAAGCTTCCTTATAGCATCGTAGACAAACTCAGGTGTAAAAGGCTCGCCGTATTGTTCGAGCTCCTCGTTCTTCAACCTCCGGCGAAGCTGCTCAACCGATACCGCAGAATCAATAACCTTGTACTCCCGCATGAACATAATCCTATTCAACATGTCAGGACTAAAATAAATAATACGAATAGTCGCAAAAGCACTCACATGGCATCAATTAAGGGTGTCTCGCTTTTGAAACTATGCGCCGCCTTCTTACCAACCTGGTCCAGAAAGTCATAAAATGGAATACAGAAAATTAAAACTTGCAAAACCTATCGACGTGGTTAGCTCACACTTTTCCATTAGTTAAGAAATCACAACTTACGGAATTCATATAGCACATGTTCCCGGTGTTGATCAAACCCCTGGGCTCTAGAAAAGCGATTTTCCTGTCGCCGCTAACGCTGTAAGCCCGCAGAGCCTCGGCCAAAGAGCTTGCGTTTGACTTCGCAAAACTGCCCACGCTTACGCTTCCGTTACTCTGAACTGTGCCGTCAGGAACAGCGCCAGTCGTTGTAGCACCAGTGACTGCAGATCCTGTACCAGGGGCGCCAGTTGAAGAAGGATTGGGCGCCGAGCGGGCGAATAATCCAGTCCAAAGCTTTGGAGCTGCTTTCACCGGGGCGGGGGTTGATTCAGGCTTGACTTCGACCTGGGAATCTTCAGGCGAGCTCTCCGTCGCAGGTGCTTCAGCTGTCGCTTCCGGCAAAGACTGTTTCTCTTCTGACGTTTTGGTTTCGGCACTAGACGAAGTTGCTTCTTTGGAACTTGCCTTCGGCATTACGGGGACGACGGGAACAGCTGGTACAGCCGTCCGAGAAGCGGGCTTTGTGGTTTTCGTAGGAGTGATGGATGTAGCGGTAGGAGACTGAACTGCATAAACCGACTGAGGAGTAGAGGGTGAAGTTGAATGTGCGATTTCCGACGGCACATCTTGCGTAGATGGGGTTTCTGATTGTGTAGAAAGATCGGTGCTGGTACTGTTTATGCCGGTAGCAGCAGCGGACTTGAGTGTAGGAGTTGCGGGCAATGAAGTATCACCTCCTGAGACCCCCTCATGAGATACAATCCCAGACTCCAGGCCCTTCCCTTGATTCGAGGGCAGCTCGACCGATTCAGCATTAGGAATTTGTATTCGCCTTCTTCTCTTGGATCGCGTGGACTTCGTCGGGAAGGGTATGTCAGGTCGCGACAACCATGGTAGCTAGAACTAATGTTAGCTAGAGTAAACCAAATGTATAATAACGACTCAAGACATACAGGAGGCCTAAATGGCAATTGGGACCGTAGTTCCACATCGGGGGTAGTAGACGCGACTTCCTGGGTTTGTGGCGTAGGGGGTGTCAAGGGAGCTGGAAGAGCTTGCGACGAGTGCGTAGATGAAGGTGTTTCGGGTACAGAGACGGGCGGCGGCGGCGGCGGTGGCGGCGCTGCTGCTACATAAGGAGGAGGGGTCGAGAGTGCTGGAGAAGGTTGCTGATGCTGATGCTGCTGTTGCGGTTGTTGTGGGGGCGGTCGAGGGTAGGGTTGATGTTGGGATTGCATATTAGACGACACGATGGGAGCGTATTGTTGATGTATCGCGGGAGGAGATCGTTGTGAGTACGAGTTGTACTGCATGTATGGTGTGTTGGCTATAACACCGTTCTGATAGTGGTGTGGAGCTTGATAATAGCTCTGAGCATAAGGGGCGATATAGCCGTTATGATAAATTGGGTTGACATGCTGTTGGTGGTGGTAGTATTGGTGCTGCATCTGATGATGAGGTTGATACTGAGGAGGAGGCGGTCGTCGTTGGCGACCACCGGTAGGTCCTGTACCCGGTCCCATGTCAACTTGTCCTCTTACTACACCTCCGCCGCCGACGCCTCCTCCAGGCTGCCCAGCCGGCAGATGATTACCATTCATCTTGCCGGCTTGGGGTTGATGAAGCAGTGGCTATCCACCGCTTCTGCGACCTTCGTCGCCAATACTTAAATCGCAATTATTTGCTGGTACGTAGGTGCGGGACCTATAGTCTCGAGTCGCGGTTTGCTTGATAGTTGCGCGTTGGAATATCTGTTGTGCGTCACGCCTTATTACCAGCTCCGATCCACTTCCGCAACTAAGAGAGGCAACGGAAACGAGTGGCGCTACCTCATAGAGGCCTGGAAGAGAATAATGATCAAAAGTTGGAAGGGAACGTGATGAATAAAATGTAGGAGTTGAAGGTGGATGTGAAGCCAGTTAGAGCGGCAATATCCGAAAGGCTCGCGTGTTGTGTATTTGAAGTTGGTCGGGATGAGATCAATTCGGGAGCTAATAATTTGTTTTCTCACTTTTTCCAAAGTTTTCGGACCCTCTGAGATTACCTCGAGCCAATCCGAATCCGCGCCTGATCAGGGTCTTTACTTAGCCACAAACACCAGCCACGATTTCAATAATCTGAAAGATACCTAGATACATACCTCGGAGTATTAATACTGACATGAATCATTCATGTGTCTTAAAGATGTTCAAACCTGTGCTACCGAATTTCGAACTCCTGCGTTTGTATTAATAAATGTTCTGTAAAAAAAAGCATTAGGCGCCCATGTATGGTATCGAAGGATTCCTTTCAGGTACAAGAAAACCATCAGACCTTGTATAAGGATGTGTCTACCTAGTAGTAGTTGCTTAGGCACCCGGTAAGGTTTCCATCCGATCTCGTAGTATGTATGATTAGAGCTCGGCAAAGTTTTTGGAAGCATATAGAATGACCCCTTTTTTTTTCTTTAGGTTGGGACTACTTAGACGTGCCAAGGAAAGAGCTCATATTAACTTTCAAGTGAGATACCTAGCAGGCACGTATGGTGCTGGACAATATTCAAGACAACGGAAGAATCGAGTCACATTCACTATAGTCTTATGTTTGTTAAACACATTCAATACAAAAATCGAAAGACATCAATTGTCTGTTGCTTGTTGCTCTTCAACGCACGCCAACAACTTCTTCTAAGCTACATATGTACTGTACCAAGGTAGGTAGTTATATATAGGTATCAATAAGGGAGGAAGCTCTTCGACGAAAACCATGCCTTTCAACCCAACGCCAACAAACATCAATGCAATATAGGTAGGGTTGCCCCTAGTCCATTTCCGGATTCTATCAGCGCGTTGGAACTTATTCGTCTCTAAACAACCATCTTCCGCCAGGCCGCATTGCCTCCCGATATCTTTCGTCGATAGTTTGCCGTGCTACCTTAGCAGCTTCTTCTTTATCCCGTTGTTCCTCTTGGGTACTCGGGAAATCTGTTCGCCAGAAACCCACTGGCGATGCCGCGCGGTGGAATCTATGGCGATGTTTCCCATGTTCGTTAGCAAGCTCTTGCGTTTTGGCCTCAAGCCATAACTCTTCCTTCTCAGGTTTAGTCATCGTTGATAACTTCCATGCATCATCGCCTAGGTATTTCTCTAGCGACGTTTGGAAATCCGGTGCACTAGTTTGGCCACGTTGCGCACGCGCTTGTAGTCGAAATGTCTGGCCACAACAGCCTTCTTGGACACATCCGGCTAGGTTGGCTCGTTCATTTTTGTTCCGAACAACATCAGTGAAAGCGAAGTTATATCCCTCATTGGCATTGGGGTTGATTTTGAAGTCACCAATGCCTAGTTGGGACTTTGGACGTTTTCTCAAAGGCGTTGCATCACTAGCCACTCCATCCGTTGATCTCCTTTCAGAGTGCCGGTTCGAACTTTGCTTCGTAATGGCACTTGTTGAAACCCGTCTACTACTTGTTGTTTCCGGGGTAACGAGCGGCCCGGTTGTCTTCGTCGTTCTTTTCTCAAAGGGTGTCAATCCATTCTTCCCAAAGGGCAGTTCACGCCTCGGCGGGATTTGAGACTCCAGAATAGATGATATATTCGCTTGGTTTGGTAGCGCACTTTTAGTTGGTGTGATAGTTTCATGTCTTGGTGTGGGATTGTCGAGAAGGCCTCGAAGTCGACCAGTTTTCGGTATCTTTGTGCTAATCCTTGGTGCCCCATAATCGTCACCGTCCTCCAAAAGACTCGAAATCCCGTTACATAGAGCTGATGATGGCTCATTCCGCTCCGCAAGAATGTTTACTTTTAGTCCTTGCCGAGACATGGTGCTGCGACCCAAGAATTTCAACGCGGGGGAAGGGTCGTTCTGTAAACCCGATGAATTCTGAGCTGCAGTGTTTTGGACATGGGCAGTCTTAGGATTCTCATCCAATTGTGGAAGTGTAGAACAACTGCCCCGTGTTGGCGTATCTTGTACCAGACCATGACCCCCATCCAAGCGAGTATTGTTAGTATGTGACCGGGCATTGTTCAACCCAGACATATCTTCAAACTCGGAATTGGTTCTATTGCGCTTTCTGGGTGTATCCACTCTGCCCCCTTCAGCATCGAAGTCGATGCTCTCATGTGGCACAAATCGGCGATGCTCATTAACAATTTGTGGACCAGAGCTATCTTCTTCTGCCTTCACTTTAACAACAGCCCGACGTTCCCCCGTCTGGTCATCGTCGTGCTTCCTCTTGCGCAAACAACGCTCCGAAACTATAACCGGGGCATCCGATGATGGCTCGTGCTTTATAAGTACACCATCCATTGTTACACCCTTATCATAAGGGAGAGGTGGTAAGGAGGTTTCCTCTCCAACTTGTGTGCAGATATGGCCCTTTGAGCGAGGGGTGGCATCTCTCACCGGGTCAGATCGCAACCTATTCGCTATCTTCGCTAGCTCCGGGGAGGCAGAGACGGTGCTTCGAAGAGACTCGTGACTACTGTTCTCGTCGGTAGGTGGCCATAGTAATGGAGACTCCCTCGGTATCGATCCAGGCCTTATCAACTCAGAAGTAGTCGTTGGCTGCCTACGTTCGGGTGGAATGGAACCATTGGACGAAAAGCTAGCATGAAACGGAACAGACGTCTGAGCTGTAGCATCGTTTAATTGAGCCTCTAGCTTCTTGATCGTACGGCTACGCTTCTGGCACAATTCATTTAACTGATTTGCATGACCCATCCATTGATTGTATGCTTTCGTCATGTCGCGAAGCCGCCGATTTAATTTTGCATGAGCATCCTCAAGCTCTGAGTACTTCCCACGCAATTTTGTATAACTTCCTTCCAGCTTCAGATGTTCTTCTCTAAGCTCGGAAAACTCCAATTCATCCAGTTTATTTTTTCCGGATTCGACGGATCGCCTCGGATTTGATACTTGGTTTACGGACTTAGGAGCGAGAGGGATCCGGAGATTATTAGAGCCATCGCGATGCTTAGGTTGATTTAAAAATGACGTCTCCGTGAAACCGCCATCTTTGAGAGCCCGGATTTGTCGCTGTAGAGATTGATTTTCCTCTCTTAATTGATTTGCGTCTGAGACCTGACTTCTCAATTGCTCGAGCTCTGTGGAAAGTCTTGTATTCTCCGATATACGCGATACGAGTCCTAATTGAGAGAATAAGTATTTGTGGTACAGGAACGAGTATAAATCAATCTACACGCACCCGCATCAAGGACCTCGTTAATTTGATCACAGGCTCCAGCAAGGGCGTCAAATAAGGCGGGCCTACCCACTTCCTTAAACCAATTCTCCATTGGAATCGGTTAGTAAGAACTCGGCAGCCCGTATACCCTATATAGCCCAATTTATATGTGTAAATGCATTGTTTGACTGGAATTGGTTGTTGCGAAATCATGAAGAAATGATGAACAATGACGCGAACAACGCGAGTTGAAGAAGACGCGCCGAGAAGGTGCACCTACCCCACTGTCGCTAGGTTATTGGTCCGTGCCCTATTAAGCTCCCTGTACCCCACTACATGATCTAGCTCCACTAAAAAATAGGCAGATGAATTCCTGAGGTTACATTTTAGAGTTCCGTTATGAGCACACAGGCATTAAAAGACAATCCCAGCTGTCTGGAACCTTTCTGTATGGAATATTCAAAAGGCGTCCATATGTAAGATTTAGGAGATAGAAAAGGGGATGGTTTTCTTAATTATCGCTTAGTCCCTTCACGACTTATTCATATGCTATGAATTTATAAGTGCTTTATTGCAGCTCGCAAATGATTGATATGGACACAAGCAGATAGTTTAGGGAAGTAGGTGCCGAAGCGGTTATGTAAAATATCGAAATAGGGCTGCATATTTCTTCCCCATCCTGCAAGATGCACGCACAATACATCTACCTAGTCCACCTTTTAGCTCCATATCTATTGTCAGAGTAAAAATAGAGTTCAACGTGTCATCACGAAGAACCTGACAGAGAATCGATAATAGAATTGGTAGGTAGTTTATAAGACCCGTGGGTTCGGATCGACTTCTTCCTATACGGAATTCGGAGATATGGGCTCCGGACGGTAGAATCTCAATTTCATCGCTTTATTGCATTGTTAATGAATTTGCACTGGCTGAATAATAAAATATCATGACAAATAAGAAACTACTATGAGAAGCTTTATGGAGGTTACAACATAAATGGATCTAACCGGCTTTCAACATGAGGGTATGTAGTTATAGCAATTTGGAACGGAGAATAGAAACCTGGGTTACCTGCTCGAAGATATCTAATCGATTTACAAATCACACAGAACAGATTATCAATCTTGATCAGGGGTAATCGCCTATCTTGCCCTATCTAACGGTATCATGAGAGTTTAATAGATTAAGGGTGCATTCGGTAGTGAGTAATATGTTTAAATCTACGTAACTTCTTGCAGCAACGAGATATTTATGGCTCTTGACGTTCTTATGTTATACCACTTACATGTACTTACTCGCCCCCTTCATAATACCTAGTTACATGTAGTACTATTTAATGTTTCGCCTAGTAATTACAGACGCCGAATAAAATAGAAGGCGTGGTTTACTGGATCGACGTTTCGTTGTTTGAAGTACATACAAGGGAGCACCTACTCGCGATAAATTAAGAGTGGCTTGATTAGAAACCGGGTATTGGCGTCGAATCTTTCAACCTTTCCACCTTTCTAGGAAGCAACAAAGACTACGCACCGTCTCGAAAGTGATCACTCGGACTACATAAATAGGTATGTAATTATTCGGATGAAACATTAAAAATCGGCATGGAACATCAAGTACGTATGCCAAATGACTTATTGGTTTGATGTCCAAAAAGAAAATCAAGTTTTAGACTCTTATCTGCCATGATTTCATGTCTGGACCTTTCACTTTCATGCTAGCAAGTAAATTTCAACTTTTTTTCCTTTTCTATATGTCGAGTTGACTGCCATTTTAGGGCCAAGTCTATTATCGTTGGTCTAATCAGTGGCCATCTGCTGCAACCACATACCCACCCAAGATACTTTGATACGCTAATATGGAACATCTTTCTCGATCAAGACTAGGGTTTACCGTAACTTAGATTGGTAGAACTGAATTCTCGAAATTGGAAATATCTAACAGAGTAATAACATTCCATATGGGTAAATAACGGTAGTAGGTACGGGCGGTAAGGCGATGCACGTGCTATCTGGACGCTAAAATGGCAGAAAATGGCAGAAAACTGGAATTGGCAGAATGACTAACCGCTCGTTCCAGCAATGGAAAATTGGCGATTCCCACAAAAATATTTTTAAAGGTCAATCAACAACAATTAACTGCTGTTACGTGCGCAAAGTAAATTCAACGGCGATTAGAGCGATACATCCATATCTAGTAGAATTTTCTCCGCAGTTGTTGCCCACGATATCTTTCTTCCAACACCCAACTTATTCTCCTTCAAGGCTATTTTCATTCTTAATCTACATATTCATTCTTATTCGTCACTCGTCCCAAGAATTAAGGTATGTCAAGTTCGCTATTTACCTAGTAATATTCATTTCAACCTTCAACGTTTGTTGCCCTCGCAAGCAGTATTAAGGCAGGTACGATAAGTATTTTAAGGTATTTACGTGTGCCCGTACCTGCCAACTTTATCTTGTTTCTTCTATCATACTTTCCTCCTACTCGTACATGGAGGATATCACACTTTCCTTCAAATCTGTAGTGTCAAGCATTTGGTTCCTGCCTAGGCACATATCCCTACGGTACTTGTCCGTACCTGCCTTTCCGTCAACTTTGAACCCCACCATCCAAATGCTAGCCAACTGCCAACCTACCACATGCACTCATTTGTATCCTAGGTACTAAAGGTACCTACTACCTACATCTAGTATTTAAAATCTACCAAATATTTTACATCAAAATCTTTTCCAACACATACCACCTACTTTCATACCATATCGACCTTCTCGTCAATCCAGCCCACCAACTTCCAAGTTATCGATCTACTAGGTAGTCAGTACTACATCACCAGTGAATGCTCATCTGACGCATCGCTGTATCCTTCTGCGAACTTCGTAACTAACATATTGTTTTTTACCAAGGTCTTTCTACAATTCAACACCCACAAATTCAGTAGCTGACTAGAGTATCAGTCGCCAACATTGTGACACGTTGTCTACATTCTTTGTAAATACAACAGTTCACATTGGACAGATCAGGCCCCGTTACCTGTGGTAAGTTCAAGATCGAATGTTGAATTCATGTCATTCGCTATTCATCACGAACCCCTCCACCAAGCCTTTTTTTGCCCTCCCCCCACTACACGGTGGACATATCGTCGCCTATTCACCCCACTCCTCACGGCGCCAATAGGTATCTAACCTGCACTACCTACCTTGCCTTAACATTCATTCCTTGCCCCCCTACTACTTGGGTGGTTGAACGGTACCTGAAAAATCCTGAGAACTTCCAATGAAATAACAACCTCGAATCTTGAAGTCAGGACTTTAAATCCACTTGGAGCAAAGCGCATTCATTTCAACCCACCACCGCATAGCATGCTGTTCACGTGTCTTCTGGGGCTAACATTATTCAAACAGACTCAAATAAGATATCTCTGATAATCTAGAGATTTTACGATCTACCAACATTATCATGGATTACCAGGGTCCTCCCCGCGCCTGCTACACTTGTAAGTAGTCGCATATTGTATTTCATATTTCAAGGGCGTCATTTTTATGTGGTTTCGATTTCGTCTTATGTTTCCGACATTTGCGAACTTGATTTTCTTCTGTGGTGGCAATTTATTAAGCAATCATCAGCGCGCTGTCTGATTTGTTACGCATTTACGTTGGCATGTTTATGAACTCTCTATTTGGTCGCATTCGAATGTAAGCATCAAAATGCTTCTGCCACAGTATGGTTGATGATGCAATTATTTACTTTACTTTACTTTTCATGGATGAAAAATGATCTGACATTTCCATACAGGCGGCCAGACCGGACATCAGGTATGTGGCGGGAAAAGGAGATCATCTGATTTTGGGGTAACATGATTGGATTAATACTAATTTTCAAATATTTAGCTCCGTGACTGCCCTAACCGTGGCCCCCCCAAATGGTAAGTGACGCTGTCTTCTAACTAATGGAATACTTATTGATATCGTATATAGCTACAACTGTGGTGGTGAAGGGCATATCAGTAAGCCTCATTAGTACTTGAGTTTGGGCTAAAAACGTTTCTAATGGATTATTTATCTAGGCCGCGAGTGCCCCGATGGTCCCAAGGATACCAAATCCTGCTACCGGTGCGGCCAGACTGGTCACATTAGCCGCGACTGCCCCCAGAGCAGTGGTCCTCTTGGCGGCCAGAGCGGTGGCGGCGGTGGTTCCCAGGAATGCTACAAGGTACGTCGTAATGTTTCCAATTTCCTAGTCATATAACTAACATTTCCTGAATTTAGTGTGGCAAGATTGGTCACATCGCGCGTAACTGCCCTGATGCCTACGGCGCTAACAGCTACGGAGGCTTCGGCGGAAACTCCAGCTACGGTGGTCAAGGCGGCCAGGGTGGCGGCAAGACGTGCTACTCTTGCGGTGGTTACGGCCACATGTCTCGTGAGTTAGGCTAATAGCTGAAAACTGTTCTCCTCTAATCTAGCTTTAGGCGAGTGCGTCAATGGTAGCAAGTGCTATAACTGTGGCGAGAATGGTCACTTCTCTCGCGATTGCCCCAAGGCGGCTTCTTCTGGAGGCGAGAAGATCTGTTACAAGTGCCAGCAGCCTGGACACGTCCAGTCTCAGTGCCCCAACTAAGCGGATCTACGACTCGGCACCTCGACTCCTTTCTAATGCGACAATTCGATATCTTTATCTCACAGCATCGATTACCCTAAACAGTTTATGAAGGTGGATGGCGACCGAGGCCTTTGGAAAAGGTTGCCAGAGCAGTGGATGATTGGGATGGTGGACCATCTTCTCAAAATATTCGGCAAAACACCCTTTGCATATTCTCTTCTTTATGGTTGACCCTACACGTGGGTAGGTCACTATGGCAGGTCGCGATTTGGTAAAAGTCGAGTCATCTCACTTGGACGGCATGATACGACTGATAAAAAAGGGAAGGGTTAGAATCTCGCCTGGATTCGGAAAAGTCATCACGGAACATGGAGTCATGGATTTGCTTTGCTGGGATATTGTGCTGATTCTTTGAGGGCATTGATCACATCACGCATGGTTTGCAAGGGACTAGTTGCGGCAGTAAGGTCACAAATGAAATTTCCTTCTATGCAGTTGTTGTTGTTCCTTCAGTTAGGAACCGAAAACGAATGAATGGCTTCTTCTTTATCTGTTAGTTCGATGATCCGTGGTTGTGATGCTGTTGTTCTCGAGTTGCGTTGTGACGGTAGTTGAAAGTCGATGCCGTCTTGTAGTACTGTTGAAGTCGACCGTAGCGTAAATTTGTTTTGGTATAAGATGACTAACATTTTAGGCATATCTTTCACTTCTCACAGCCTGAGAAGAAACACATACATACATAATTCTCTTAGACAACGAATGTCATAATTTATTTACTTTAATCAAGAGCAAAAAAATGCCCTTATTCTACCTATCAATCATGTGCTATGCGGGGGGTTCTTGGTATCTCTAATCTATGTCAATGTATCTATTCGCGATATATGTCCACGCCATCCTTTCCTTTCCAGACCGGGCCAAAACTCCGTTTTTTTCCTAAAAGAGAGAAAGAAGTCGCGTAGGTATTAAAAATCGAGGTATTGGTGTTAGTTAGTGTTAGAACTGGGGATCGAAGATAGTTAGGGAGGTAGGTAGCTAAGGTTGGGTTAGTACCCGAGAGACCCGATGCATTGAACGCTTCGATCGCGATCGACGTCGTGCGAGAAATGATTTTTAGGTTCGGCACGCCTGCGACACGACAGATAGGCTGTGCGTCCGACGGGAAGCGGCTTCGAATATAGATTGCGGGTCGGGCAGGCGGGTAGCCATGCTGAACTTTCCCGTCTCGTGCGGGAGCCCGGCTGATCGCCACTACTTGGGCAGGCGTGTAACGTAGCGCAGCCGCGGGACGTGGGTTTAAATACGAACTGTGGCTTGGGCGTCCGCCTTGCGCTTCTCGTCTCTCTTCGCTAGCATCTGCGAGATCATGAAGTGGCTGACGTCCTCGTCCTGCCAGTAGGCCATGTGTGAGGCGATGGTGTTGATGGGGTTGAAGTCAAGCGCGCTCCTGGATTAGGTAATTCGTTAGTTATTATGATTGAGTTTTGGTTTTGCTTGACCTTGTTTAAGAATGAATGTGAAGACAAGAAGAAATGAAGTTGACTTACTCTTGGATACTGTAATCCACCCTACCGTTCCGATTCAGCGCCATGACCTTCGCCTCTTCTCTCTTTAGCTTCTGCGCCTTTAGTTCCTCTGCGGCCCACGCCTCGCCAAGCTCCTTACCCTCCTCTGCATGACTGGCGCTGTTCTTATGGTCCTCGACGCGCTTCTTTTGGAAGCGCGAGTATAGCGTCTCTAGGTCGTCGTCGATTAGGGTTCCAGAGTTGCCGTCTGAACCACTCGAGGAGTTCTGGCGCGCTAATGCCTTCTTCCTTGCGTCCGTCTTTTCCGATTGCGCATTGATGTCAATCACGCCGCCTCCTACTATATTTGTGCCGGCACCTGGGGGCAAGGGTTGCGAAGGGTTGTTATTAGCGTTGAAGTTCGCGACGTCTTGGTTGGTGAGTCCGAGACTACGGTTGAGGATGTTGCTGGCAATGCCGGCGCTGAAGCTGGACCACAGCCCGCTGACGCTCTGGCCAACTTTGACGCCGAAACCGGAGAGTCCTTGCGGTGCTACAGCGCCAAAGATTCCTTTCTTGGTGTAGGGAAGGACTTGGGGTTTGAGGGATGACATTGCCGGTAAGATAAGCGGTTCCAGACGGTAGGAGATCGGATCGGATGGATGGAAGATATTGAATAGCTGTCCTACTTTGGGCGACGATACCGAAAATGGTAGGCCGGTGATGGCTGAAAGATGCTGGTCCGTGCCAACAGTTGAAGAAAGAAATGGATCGTCTACATATTCTGTATTAAGGGGACTCTCGGACGGGAGCGCATTGGGATTACTTCGTGCTCCAATGGTGCGCCCTTTAAGCATCTGGAAGAGACCGATCGGCGAACCTAGACAGAAGAGATTCTCAACGTCAAAGTCGAAGGCAAGATCTCGAGGGTCTCGGGGTGGTTCAAGCCGCTCTTGAGAAGTGAAGAAACGCAACGGACTACGCAGCGCTACCTCTGTAGGCTTTGGTCTTTCCTTCTGCCTGCATAAGATGTCGAACATAATTGCAGAGCCTAGGGAATGGGCAATTATGTGAACTTTACCCTTGAATTCGGGATTGCGCTCCATAAACAGCTTATAAATTCTATTAGATTCCTTTGAAACGATCTCTGCAATCTGTTCTCGGTAGGCGCTTTGGTAAAGTAGGACATCTAGTGCAAGATCTGAAATGAGGGAGCGAGCGAATGCCACGCCTTCGATAGTGATATCCTCAAGGGAAGGGTCTGGCAGGTTGTTAGTTGGCGGCTCATAGAATGAGGGGATCTGGACGGCGGTACTTACACTCGTCCTCGTCGGCCGTGACGTCACCCAAATCGGTTTCGCCTTTCTTTTTTCGTTTAGGGAAATCCAGTAGATGTCTCCAACAGACTGGAAGAACCTGGATTTTGCAATTTCCTGGGTCATTTTCGCCATCTTTATTAAGAGTCTTCAGGTCAGCCGAGTGAGTGTATACTGCTTTGATGGTTTTCCGTAGGAGGTTAACATCGTGTACGAAATTGACACTTTCCATTCTAAAGTTTTGGTTAATATTTAATGATCCTCGCTTGAGTGAGGACACGATAACTTACCGAAGTCCCAACAACTGCCCAATGCCATGGGTAACTAGGACAAGGTGCTCAATCTCACGCCCTTGAGTCTCTCCATCCTGGTCATTATAATCGTCTTGGATTTCTAGCTCCTCACGTTTCCTGATTTGCTCTTCTTGCTTCTCTGGGTCTTCCGATGTCTCGACAAACGATGCAAATTGCCGTTTTAAACGATTTCCCCGTCGTTGGGCTTCTGTCGTGGTCTCGTCATCTTCTTCGTCTCGGTCTGGCACGTTATCGGATCGTATGCTAGGAGGAGCAGACCTGCGCTTAAGGGCCTTCTCCTGCTTTTCGTCTTCTTTTTCGGGAGGTAATGTAGCTGTGGTGGGGGTAGGTGGTCTCTTCCCATCTTTTACATCTTTGCCGTCCTTCGACTTCCCAGGTTCTGAGTATCCGCGTACGAGCTTTACGCCGTTCATATATCCACCGCCAGCAAATCTTTGATACACAGTTGACGTAACCCAAGAAAAGACGCTCTCCGAGGATAGCCACGCCGTATTCGAATCTTGGTAAGTGGCTATACTGTTCATATATGTTCCGAAGAGTCGATACGTCTGTGGCTGATGCGGCGTTGCAGGTTGGGCTGGTTGAGGTTTAAGCGAATTGTCGGTCTGTGACTTGGCGGTCGCTTTGAGATTTTCTGAGGATGCCTTCGGTGTTACGTCATGCATCCCAGAATTACTACGAAGCCTGGGCGATGGATATGTCCAAGGTTTGATTTTCAAATATCCCTCCTCAAGTTGAGCCGCCAGATTCTCTTCGCAAGGCCGTAACGTGGACCCTTCTTGATAGAACCAACTGCCACGCCGAATTTCATATATCGGACCTAGCCAATATACCGGCGCCAATTCACGCTCTTCAATATCGACATCGAATAAGAAGTCTTCATTGACCGGGACTCGTATACTGCTCCGTGGATTATCGTCATCTTTATCAGCAGCTGTATTGGCCTTTTCCTCAGACGACACTGCCCTCCGCCGTCGCGATCTAGAGCGTATTGACCCGTTCCCTAAACTCCTATCCCGTTCGTCTTCGGCTTCCTCTAGGAGCTTCTGGTATGCGTTCTCGATCGATCTCGAATCATTCTTGGAAAAGGCAACGAATTTTTTAGGCGGGGTTTGTTTGGCTGTGTCGTCCTCTTTTTTGGTTTTTAGGAAATTGGGCTTGCGTTTAGGAACCTAGAATTATACAGTCAGAATATCATACTTCTACCAAAGAAGACTTTCGGCATCTACGCACATCAACCGCATGAAACCACATAACATTCAGCGGTGGACATTCTAGGGGGTATCTCTTAAAACTCTGGCCGTAAAAGGTATTCGTGCTATGGTCATCGGCTTTCTTAGCAGCGGTAGGAACGGTAGAAGCTATTGGCTTGGGTTTCGAGGCGGTCTCTTTCGGAGCGGGCGTAGAGCTACGACTAATATTCCACGGATTAATGGAATCGACGGCGGTTGCTAAATATGACTTCTCCACCTTCTTCGTCTCTTTCTTCTCGCTGGTTGCGGCAGGATCGCCGTTCCCTGGAGGCATCTTAATCAACTGGCCAAGGGCCCATCCGATAAAGCTTCTCTGAGAAAGTTTCGAGAATCGATTCGTGAGAGCTGGCCGAGATAACGCACGGGTACCTCTGCAGCTTCGCGAGACACAAATAAGCGAATTCGCCAATTTGGCAGGTTATGAAGATGTGTAGGTAGGTAGCTAAGACTTGGGGACTCGAGCTTAAGAAAGGATAAGACAAGGTCCAAATATCCTACTGTATTATTATGATCGATGGTCTGCGCCACTTGGCTATCGTCGGATAGACAAATGCAGGCTTGATCGAGTGGTTGACAACTCAGCAAGAGAATGGATAATTGGAAACTATTATAAATGTGAATAGGAATAGGGATGAGTACTAAGTATGAATATAGATAATAAATGCAATGCAAAATATACAAAGCTTACTACATATCAAAACTTTGTTTATGATATTAAAGGAGAGTAGAAGTGCACGATGTTTGCATTGTTCAGAATAATACACGAAGCAAAGGAACTGACACGGAAGTAATGGATGGAAGGTTGTAGGCTGTAGCCTGTAGGCTATCACATGGTAACAATTAAAGCTGCTAGCTGACCTTCAATTGCTGTCCTTGTCAGCCTTAAATTGCTACTACGTACCCTATGACGACCGCCACCTAGACCGCCTAGCATAAACGCTAATTAATATCCATCATAACCTAGAAGCCTGCACAGGCTGCACAAAAAGATCCATGGCATCCAGGTATCTTGTATTGTACTAATACTACTGTACCCCAATACTGTGGATTCATTGCCCCTCCCTAAAGTTTCCCGAGAACCTGCCCGAGATCCCCTACTTTTACCACCTAGCCACAATTTTTAGAGACAGCCCACCCTTATCAGCTTATCGCTACTAGCGATCTGGATAAGATTCGAGGTTGTCTAATAGAATGGTGGGGCACGAGTTTATGACTCTAACTCTATCTCAGGTAGCTCAAGTTTTCAACAGACTAAAAATTTACAAACATCGCGAAAGCTTCTCCCAACCAATCTCATTGTTCAATTCTACTATCAACCAACACTTGTGTTGATATTTATCGTAGGTGATGAAGTGTCTATCACTCTTATTACTGGGTTCGCGCAACGAATTACGCACCTCCAGTTGACCTCTACACCTATCCTTGCGACTTTGCGACTTAGGATTTACGATTGCGCATTTTCCAGAGTGAAGATAGAAATCAAAGAAGATGGCCACCACCACCATCACGACAAGTGCGGCCATGCCGGCTAAGCACCAGGTCGTAGACAAGCTACCGAAGAAGTTTAAGCAGATAAAATTCGGCATTCAATCAAATCAAGACATCGTGAACCAAGCTGTTTTGGAGGTTTCCGATAGAACTATGTACGATGTTGGCAGGGGTAGAGAGCCAATTCAGAATGGTCCACTTGACAAGCGTTTAGTAAGTAATTGTGAATTACCATAATCCTATGATACAAATTCATTAACATTGCCGTTTCTAGGGTACATCCAGCAAGACTGGCATCTGTTCAACATGTGGCCTACGACTACAGGACTGTACCGGCCACTTTGGTCATGTCCGACTACCGCTACCTGCCTTTCACATCGGCTATATCAAGTTTACTATAACCATCTTGCAGAACATATGCAAAGACTGCTCGCGAATCCTGTTGACTGAAGCGGAACAACGAATGTATCTTAAAGAGCTACGGCGACCTTTCATCGACAATATGCGCAGGGTTGCCATCTGCAAGAAGATCAACGAGCAATGCCGGAAGACAAAGAATTGTCACTACTGTGGAGCAGTCAACGGTCAAATCAGGAAGGTTGGAGCTCTCAAGCTTGTTCACGATAAGTTTGTTGCCTTCAACAAGTCAACTTCGCAGAAGAAACAGCCTCCAGCTAGTAAGATTGAATTCGACAACTCCTTTTTGGAAGCTAAGAAGCACGTCCACGATCTCGAGAAGCATATGAGGAAAGCCTTTGAGGATCTGAATCCTCTGAGGGTTCTGAATCTATTCAAACAAATCAATCCTACGGATTGCGAGTTACTTGGCCTTGATCCCTCCGAAGGACGACCGGAGATGTTCCTATGGCAGTACCTCCCAGCCCCTCCTGTTTGTATTCGACCCTCTGTTGCTCAAGAGGGTGCAAGCAACGAAGACGATCTAACAGCCCGACTTAGCGACATAGTCTGGGCTTGCGGCCTCATTCGCTCCGCATTAGAAAAGGGCACACAGCTCCAAACCATCATGGAACAGTGGGAATACCTGCAATTGCAGATTGCTCTCTACGTGAACAGCGATGTTCCCGGTCTTCAGAATAGCGGTGCGAGAACATCGAGGGGTGTCTGCCAGCGCCTAAAAGGCAAGCAGGGGCGATTCCGTGGTAACTTGTCCGGAAAGCGTGTCGATTTCTCTGGCCGAACCGTTATCTCTCCGGATCCGAATCTGGCTATTAACCAGGTAGCTGTACCGGAGCTTGTTGCGAAGAATCTCACGTACCCTGAAAGAGTCCACCGCAAAAATATCGACAAGCTAAAGCAATGTGTCTTGAACGGCCCATATGTGCACCCCGGAGCTCAGGCGGTCCTGAAGCAAGATGGCGAGCAGTCATTCAAAATCTCTCTTAGATTTGCTGACAAAGAATCTGCCGCTAGAGATCTACGGGAAGGGGATATTGTTGAGCGTCATCTCGAGGATAATGACATCGTCCTTTTCAATCGTCAGCCATCGCTCCACAAGCTTAGTATCATGAGTCATTTCGCAAAAATCCGGCCGTGGAGAACATTTCGTTTAAACGAGTGTGTTTGCGGACCTTACAATGCTGATTTTGACGGAGACGAGATGAATCTCCACGTGCCTCAGACGGAAGAGGCTCGTGCCGAGGCCATGACTCTCATGGGGGTCAAGAACAATCTGGCAACGCCAAAGAACGGAGAACCGATTATCGCGGCAACGCAAGATTTCATTACAGCGGCCTATCTTCTAAGCAGCAAAGACAATTTCTTTGATCGGAAAACCTTCACCTATATTGTTATGCAAATGATGGACGGTGATACTCATGTTGACCTGCCACCCCCTGCTATTCTCGCTCCTAAACGGCTTTGGACGGGGAAACAGATCTTCAGTCTGCTTATGAGACCAAATAAAGCATCGCAGGTTAAAGTCAATCTCGATGCTAAGTGCAAGGAATATGTGGAACCGTCACCACCGCCCCCAGGTCAAAAGCCAAGAGCACCAGACATGTGTCCGAACGACGGATGGCTCGTCGTGCGAAACTCAGAAGTTATGTGTGGTAGGATGGACAAGTCTACAGTTGGCGCGGGAAAGAAGGATTCCATATTCTATGTGATTCTAAGAGACTTCGGTCCCGACGAAGCTGTGACGGCGATGAACCGGCTAGCCAAACTGTGCGCGAGAGTATTGACAAATCGTGGCTTTTCGATAGGCATTGGTGATGTCTTCCCTACAGCCTCTCTCACTGAAAAGAAGCAGGACCTCGTGGCAGACGCATATAAAAAGTCGGACACTCTAATCGAACAATTTAACTCGAACAAGCTGGAAAAAGCTGCTGGCTGTAGTATGGAAGAGACGTTGGAAAACAAAATTTCCGGCACCCTCAGCAAAGTTCGACAGGAAGCCGGAGACTACTGTATTCAGACGCTTAGTAAGAACAACGCGCCTTGGGTCATGGCCTCATCTGGTTCCAAGGGATCGACTATCAACGTCGCTCAGATGGTCGCTATTGTCGGACAGCAAATTATCGGAGGACAACGTGTCGCCGATGGTTTCCAAGATCGAACTCTCCCACATTTCCACAAAAATGCTCGTCAAGCTCCTGCAAAGGGCTTCGTACGTAACAGTTTCTATACTGGCCTCCTCCCAACTGAATTTCTATTCCACGCCATCTCTGGAAGAGAAGGTCTAGTTGATACAGCTGTCAAGACTGCCGAAACTGGATACATGTCGCGCCGTTTAATGAAATCGCTCGAGGATCTTTCGACCCAATATGACGATACTGTTAGAACATCTGGCGGAGGTGTAGTGCAGTTCCAATTCGGCGCTGATAAGCTAGACCCCGTGGACATGGAAGGCAAAGCCGTGCCTGTTAATTTCGAGAGAACATGGTCCCACGCTGAAAATCTCACTTGGGATAACTCGGATAGAGCATTGCTACCGTTTGAGATTATGGAGCTTTGCGAATCTATTCTCAAAAAGGAGCGCGACCACTACCAAAGACGAGGACTATTGCATGGAGAACCTCTAGATTACCGGGATAAAAGTGACTACGCTATCGACGAACACGAAGGTGGCCGAAAGTTCCTTGATACTGTCCATGAACACATGGAAGGATTAGCTAAAAAATTGGCCGCTTTTCGAGCTGCTGCAGGCCTTGATGAGCTCTTTGAGAAACCCACAGAATCTCTAGCTGCAATCCAGAAGAAAGAAAAGGAGTTATTCCCAAGGCTTGCCTCTGAGAGAGTTGTAAAGGTCTCTGAACGCACAGCCAGAAAGTTCATTGGTTTATGCTTAGAGAAATACTCTAAGGCCCGTGTTGAACCGGGACACGCTGTCGGAGCCGTCGGTGCACAGTCCATCGGCGAGCCAGGAACGCAAATGACCCTGAAAACTTTCCATTTTGCTGGTGTTGCCGGAATGAGTATTACCCAAGGTGTACCGCGTATCAAGGAAATCATTAACGCCTCTAAAACAATCAGCACTCCAGTCATATCGTGTCCTCTAGAAAACGAGGAAGACATGGATGCTGCACGCATTGTAAGGGCTAGAATTGAGAAGACTTATATCGAGGATGTTCTTCGATATATGGATGATGAATTCAAGGCGGATAGAGCGTTCATTACCCTACATATCAACACCGAAACTCTTGAAGGAATGCATCTTAATATCAGCCTCGATGACATCGCCGACATCATCGCGAAACAGAAAAAGTTGAAGATACAAAGAACTAATATTTCTGTCTTTGAACAAGATGCAACTATTGAAGTTACCATACCACCCCCAGATTCGGATCCTTCGGCAGCAAAACGAGCACCAAGAAGCAAGGCAGCAATTGCAGAAGCCATGGCAGACATAATGGTGAAAATGGGCCAGGTCAAACGTGCGTTGCCACTAATCACAATATCCGGGTACCCAGACGCTACTCGTGCAATTATTCAAACGTCCAACGATAAGAAAGTTAAGGACAGGAAATACTACACTGTCCTAGTTGAAGGTTACGGCTTGCAGCAATGTATGAACACTGAGGGTGTTGTTGGTAAGAAGGTTCGCACGAACAGCGTCTTGGAGTGCCGCGATATCCTCGGCATCGAAGCGGCGCGAACCACCATCGCCAAGGAAATCTCCGACGTCATGAACGATATGGGTATCGACCCCCGACACATGGAACTGCTCGCCGATGTCATGACCTACAAAGGCGAAATCCTGGGTATCACCCGATTCGGTCTATCTAAGATGCGCGACAGCGTGCTACAACTCGCGTCTTTCGAAAAGACGGCAGACCACCTCTTCGACGCTGCAGCTGGCATGAAGGCTGATCGCATCGAGGGCGTCAGCGAGAAGATCATCATGGGTCAGACTATGTCGCTCGGCACCGGCGCCTTCCAGATGGTCCGCTACCTTGGCCACCAGGACAGGCATTTCAGACAGCTGCCTACTGTCTTCGAGAACGCATGGGCGGAGGAGCATGAGTGGTCTTATAAGGGGAAACGCAAGTGAGAGATGTTTATTTGAGCTACGCATGGGATTGGAGTTTAAAATAGGCGTATGCTATGGAATGGCAAAATGGTCGGCATGTTGGGCTTTGGCTTTTTGCGGTTTGTTTGATTTGGGTGTGGTTTAGTGTTTTATAGGGGATGCGAGGTCTGTAGGTAGTTTATACGATGGGATTCTATGATTTAGGTCCTTATTGAGAATTGACTGTTTTCTAAAGGGTGCCTAGTGATGAAGTAGATGTTGTTCTTAAATAATAAGTTGTAACGATATGTAGCCCAGGTGTATGATGCTAAAGTAGGTATCCAATCCACGATACACAGGTTACCCATCTCCCCAATCGCCGTAATTATTACATCCTTTATTCCTTGAGGCCAGGCCCTCTCATAGCATTGATCATGGGTCAGTACGAAGCTATCACAACAATTGCCAATCCTGATTCTAGGTAGTACGGTATTTCACAGCCTCTCTAAGACAAGCTTTATGGCCTTGATATTTATCCCGGTAGATGAGATCGGTGGTCATAGGTTTATGGCGCGATTTAGCATCGATGACTGGTCAGTTCCTTGATTTGGACTACGTGCGACGTATGAGCTGGAAGACTTCACCTCTGGAACACTAACGACCTACCTACCTATCTAATAGAGTTTTGGGGTTTGTTTTCAGTGAGTAGGTCAAGAAAGACTGCTAGGTGCCTAGGTGCCTAGTGTGTTACATGAAGTTCAGTTCTCTAACCCGTGCATACACACCCACCTAGGTGGGTATTTAAGGAGGGTAATTGAAATAGGGGACGGTTGAGATCATGTCTTGTTAACTAAAAGAGCCACAAGCTAATGGATACCTACATAGGCACCTAGTAGGTAAGTACTTAGGCAACAGTTTTAGTGTAGTAGAATGCTTGATGCCTAGGTGTAACGGCGCTCTTGAGTATGGGTTCATCGTATATCTCCTTTAGATACAGGTAGGTACTAGGTACTCAGTTAGGACACCTCCTAGTCTTGGATAGACCCTATCACGTAGACTTATGGATAATCTAGATGAGTCCTAGTTAGGAATGTAGGTAGCTATTTAGGAGTTACCTAAGATACCTACCTACCTAGTAGTCATCCTGAATTTACCAAGATCGTCGCAAACGGGCCAATTATAGGAGGTAGCTGGGCTACTGGACGAGGCTATTTAGAATACTGGATCAAGTACCTGTTCGAGCCAACCCCGCCTAAGTTAGGATGTCAAAGTTGTCAGGGGCGTGTGTAGGTAAGAAAGTGTAGATGGCTGAGATCAATATGCCGGGCCGAATCGAATGTTGGAGACCACAGGTACTAAATCGTCTGATTAGACCTGCTTTACTCCATGTCGTGGTACTCCCTATGCATCTGATGATGGTTGAGGCTCGATGTAAGACTCGATGAGAAGGTTATAGGGGCTAGCTGTCATAGAGGATGAGTTATCTCTCCGGCTTTATTATCCATGCGTGCAGGAATACTGTAGTGTTGGTGGTCAGACGGGATTTGCGATTCGTAGAGAATTTTCCTAAAGATCTTGTTTATAGTTCATATCTTGCCATCATAGATCGGATCTGTTGTAAGCATACCTAGCAGCAACTCGCGAGGGTGTCGTCAATGGGAGTCGATGCATCGCAGGATAGTCCTTTCGTTCATGCATATTCAGGTCCGCCACCTCCAAACAATCCATACGTAGGTAGGTACTGAGGTATATCCAATGGGACCCTAAGATAACGGCAGTTTTCTTCGAGTAGTCTTTTTCGTGCGGCTTTCGGCAAGGTACTATTTCGACCGGCGTGGACCCAACCGACCAATCGACCAATCAACTCATCATCATATCCTCGTCTCTTTTCTCTTTCTTCCTGAATAAGCCATATTTTTCTTCTCGATAGATAGCGTAGTCGTAGTAGTTGATATATCATAGAAGTTGGTTGTCTGTTTCCTCCTAGCGACCATCCTACTCTCCGGATACGGTAACCCCCTTTTTCAGTCTTCTTCTTTTTACTCCTTTCAGCACCTTATTGTAACCCATCGTCCTTCGTTAGCCGCGATATCGTCATTTTAGGCTTCCGTTACAGCTTCCGCGGATATTCTTGCATTTCGCTTCTAGCGGAGTCCGGAGCGCTAGTGGTGTGAGGCTCCCACCTATTCCGCATGTATATTCAGGGGTATCATCGAAATTTCCATATCACGCTTGGATGTGTTTTCGTATGGCTTGAATGATCACGATAACGAGCATAAAGGAAGACTCAATAGATAGGACGTGGTTGTCCAGATATATACGAGAGATGTTTACTCAACGAGGGGGGATTAGGTACTTATTTCCGTTATATGATAGCTCGTAAACTAGTTGGACAGAAACGGGCGGCTATGTCGCTTTCCGCAGCCTACGTGAATTCTTCTACACTGCAGACCGCAAGAAACATGGAGCACATATTGTCATGGCAAGTGTTTCGGTACCGACAGGCAGATGCCCAAAGAGCCTACAGAGCCTTGAACAGGGCATGATTGTCCCCCTGTTGCGTACTCCCGCTTGCGTTCACCGGCAGATCTGTTGCAGAAAACTTGCATGTCGAGATCTCATACGTCAACGGCGTATATACTTTCCTAGAGGGATATTACATTAAGTCTATAAATCATTCCCGGGCCGGGAGTGCTGCGAGTTCCGGTGGAACGATTTCGTCCAAACAGAATCATTCCCTATGAAAATTTGAACATAAGGGATAATATTATAGACATATGACTGGCTTGTAGGTATTTACGCGTATGTCTGATAGACAGTGGAATGTGTGATCGTGTACAACATATGCTGATGTTTCAAGCAGCTATTACATATACGCGGACTCGCGGGCCGTGAATGGTTGGCGATAATGACCAATTGTCAATAACTAGACTTCGTATCAAGTTTAAAGACGAGGTGTTTTATCCTTATTGATATCTTAATTAACTTATTTCTTACCCTTGGGGAAGATGATATCTTACTATCGCATTGGCTAATCCTAGATATCGCCGACCTAAGTTTGCAGGAGTCCCTCCTTACATAACACAATATGAAATTCTTAACAGAGGCGTATAGGACAGGGAAATATTCACCCCTCTAGACTAGCACTTAGGATCCTGCAGTTCACGTCACAGCCCTACGGCAGTCTCGGGACCGACGTCAGCTCACTCGTACCCGTATTCTAGCCTCGAACGACTCTGAGTCAGAACGATAAGTTGCTTAGGCCGTTAGACACTTAGGATACAATTCCCGCCTGTCACTATATGGTGCTTATGTGAGGCGTCTTGTCCCTAAAACCGGGGTGATAAGTGGTCTTTTGCGTGTTATAGCCAAGCAATGGCACATTAGTTATTAGGTGAAAGATGAGATTGGAACGCCACATTCGGTGGTACGTAAGCTTGGCCGTCCTTCTCACGGCGCCACGCAAGGGCATCAGTAATAAAGCTCCTTGAGTGGTCGAACGGCTCGACTCACCGCTCAATCTCTAACAATTCACTCTTCCATCGCCAACGCCATTGACCTTTCCATCGGTGAGTCGGCCACTAAAGAGCACCGACGACTACATGATCTAATGTAGGTTGGTAATGGCGTCGCTAGCGATGAAATTTCTACCTATAGTCTACATTTGTGAAGTCTGATTGGATACCTTACGTGTGTAGTACTCGCGTATGTGACCGTCGTATCAGGGCTTGAGGTTACCATAATATGTCGGCATCGGCAACATAATTCCGCAACCCGGTCACGATATTTCGCTTACTCTTTTCGCAAACACCGAGTTGGTGGGTGACTGACGTCGTTTAGGAGTGAGCCATTTAGATGAGTCGACAACGTCAACGAAAACAGATATCGGAGCCGAAAAGTGCAGTCATTTCTATAGAAGCCCGCATCGGAATTGATAATGACAATTGTTCGGCGAAGATTGCTTCCGTTCTACCCGATAGTGATCATACGTCGTAAGCATTCTACCTGCACTATCAGTTTCCCCCTCGATGCCAGTATCGTCTAGGGATGTAGGTATGTCCAAGGGATGTCTAAGGGAAAGGGGTTACCTAATGGGTTCATTTCCTTTTCGTAAGTTATCTCAATATTCAAGGTTTCGTTAGATGATATTGGAGCGAGATGTTCCCTTATGAAACACTGCCATGCTTCCTTAAAAATCGTTCTCGGCATTAGTTATGGAGTGATAGAAAAAGTTGGGGGTCCGGCGTGGGCTATCCGTGTTAGCCGGGGGCCGGGCATGGAAGTAGAGACTGCCGAGACCACCGAGAGGGACGAAGGTGCCGATGGCCTGATTACGTGTCGATGAAGTAGGTATGTAAGAGTGGTTGTATGCTCTCAGATAAAAGTGCTGCACTGAAGCGGGCATATCTTGAAACGTCAAACACCTATATCCCGAAGGATCCCCTCCCGCACCACCAAGACTGGAGGATCTCAACATCCTAGAGGCGATCATGATGTTCCAGGCTTCACCACTACGCTCCAACTAATCTGCTTATGGATTCCTATACCACCATGACCACCACTATAGGCAATCTTTGGTAACCCTTCTCTCAGCCCTGCCGATCATCTTATGTAAAGGAGATGCAGCTCTTCGCCTTGCGCATCTTCGGCCGACACGAACTCCACCGAGCGAACTCCTAGGGCCAATCGAACGATCAACCCGCAAATAGAAGCATGGGTATCATTCCGACTGCCGTTATCTCGCCTAGTCCGCCGTAAAGGTCTAGATCGATGCCGCCGAATGCGAATACACGACAACGCCCAACCGAGTTACGCCGTATAGCAAAAGCACTAACTTCTGACGAGTCTCGGCAACCTTCGAGAATAATCGATCGTCAGATGCAATTCGGCGATACTCATATTCCGAGCTGGAAAAAGGAAGAATAGGCAATTGGCCGGATGGCTTGCAGGAATACAATACCGCGCGATCATATCAGCAAGATGGCTAGCCACATAGCCCACACACAGCTCAGTCTCTTTCGGGTTGTAAAACCCGAATCGGTACCTACACATCACGATTAAGGATTCCAAGTCGTGGGATGAGTAGTTATCGTTGAAATATTGTCAGCTCTCTCTTATTGCCTTTTTCTACCAACGTGTAGGTAGGTACAGCATGACTGCCGGCCTAACATACCACCACCCCTCGTGACTCGCACAGAGCACTCGGTGTCGTCAGATTTACGAAGAGTTAACCATTCCT